CGTGAAAGCGAAGGAGCAGAAACCGGGACGGAAAGCAGCTGGGACATGGCTGATGATGAACGAATGACGCCGACAACAGAAGATGAGGAACCTAAGAAGGACCGGTGAGGCGGAGGAATTGGGCACCACAACGAGAATCACGATGTGAATGTCAAGCATATGAGACACAAACTGCGAGTGAGTAGAGGTGTTTTGGTCGTCCCGATGTTTTACAGTGTGCATTGTTGGAATATTGCTTCGATACCCTTTTTGATAGATGCATCGGAAATGATTTAGCATGTTCAGAGATTCACATCTACGTGTTTTTAAAGGGAGTAGCCAGTCTGGACTCCGCAAAAACCGAAGTTCTAGGAGTTGGAAACAAGATTTCATGGCTAAGAAGCGAGGGGATCTACAATGGGGAAAGATGGTAATTCGAAGGGTAGGGGTGGCGTTGTGTTGGACTTGGTAATAATATTAATATGGGGCGCAGGCGTCGGATGGTGGTGGAGACACCGCCAGACGCTTCGAGCCTTTGTTTGCATCATGCCAACCACAACACATGCGATCGACCGTCGCAAACCTGCATGAGCCCATCCAAACACCTCATCGAAACTGCCACAGACAAAACATCCCTCCTTCCCCCCCCCCTCGTGGTCTCTACAGTATCTTGTTACACATGGTCGGGGTATAGCTTTACAGGCCATGCTGCCACTGTTCATTGTCCAATCACCATTCTTTTCGAGTCATCGAAGTCTGCAGTCTCCTCCTAGCAACATTTGACCAATACGTGCCACGCCGGGCCCGGGCCCATGTACCACGAGACCTCGATCTTTGGCTCCTACTTCTGCCGGGACTACTAGATGAGTTGCTGCTGTTGCTACTCGCAGTGCTCCATCTCCCGCCCCTCCACCTGCAACTACATTTCAACCCAACGGTTGCTGTTCAGCGCTTCAAATACGCCTCTCTCCACCGTATAACGACGCCCCAGTATATCTTTTCGGCTTGAAACCACCCCATACCATATACCTTCTCGCTGTTTGGCTCTGCGGAAATGGCCCCCTTCCGTCTAGATGAGGGGTTCTCGGAAGATGCATCGAGTCAGGAAGAACATGGGCGCATGGCTACAGCCACGGCCGCAAGCTTTCAAGAGTGGGTCATGACACAGAATGAACAGGCACGCGCCGAAATCGCATACGAAGTCTTACGAACACTACGAACCTCTAAAATCGCGGCCGTGGTCGAGCGGCTGACACCACTCCTACATCTCGACCCGTTGGAAAAACTGCCACCAGAGATCACCTCACAAGTATTCTCCTACCTGGACGCGGAGACTCTGTTGACTGCTTCACTGGTGTCAAAGACATGGAGAGCACGTATCATGGACACGATGTTGTGGCAGGAGTTGTACAAGAGGGAGGGATGGGGTCTGGAGACAAAGGAGGTCGGCAAATTTGAGAGCGCCCTCATGCGACAGGATGCTAAAAGGGCGAGAACGCTGCTATCGGGCCAGCCTCAGTTGAAAAAACGAGCAACCTCTGACTGGTTGGAGTCAAAAGGGCGGAAGGTCTCTGCGGATGTTTCCCAGTGGAAAGAGCAGCATGGAGTGATAGAGGCTGACGAAGACATGAAGTCCGAGTCGAGTGATGATCAAGAAATGCAGGATGCTCCTACCAGCATACACAACTCCCCGCAGCGGCCGAACAAGAGACAAAGTGCAGATTCTGGGGATGAGATGGATTATTTGTCGGATGCAGTCACCAGAGATGACAGTCTTTCCGCGAGCAGAGCTGCCCAGTCCCTTGACCCTCCGATCAAGACAAAACTCGTCACCTATGGTTCCAATGGCGAGGAAAAGCTGAATTGGATCCATCTCTATAAGCAGCGCCAGAAGCTGGAACAGAACTGGACCAAGGGTCGATATACTACCTTCCAGCTCCCTCATCCCTCTTATCCTCAGGAAGCACATACAGAGTGTGTATACACCGTCCAATTCTATGGGAAATGGTTGGTAAGTGGCAGTCGCGACAAGACGCTGCGAGTTTGGGATCTGGAGACTCGCCGTTTGAGGGGAAAGCCTCTATCCGGTCACTCTCAGTCAGTGCTCTGTCTTCAATTCGATCCGACGGAGAAAGAAGATGTCATCATTTCTGGCAGCAGCGACGCAAGCGTCATCATCTGGCGGTTCTCGACAGGGCAGAAAATCCACGAAATCCCCTCTGCACACGAAGAGTCCGTTCTTAACCTGAGGTTCGATCACCGGTATTTGGTCACCTGTTCCAAAGATCGACGCATCAAAATTTGGAATCGGAAGTTATTGACCGCGACGGATAAAGATTACCCTCAGGTCAGACGCGGCGGCCAAGCACGGGTGCCATCATATATTGTCAACACTGCAGAGATGGAGCCCTCTCTCTTGGAAGCCAGACTGGCCAACGGGTCGATTCGGGCACTGAAACCATACACGCTTCTGCTGACCCTCGAGGGACACAGCGCTGCTGTCAACGCTATCCAGATTAACGGCGATCTTATTGTGTCTGCCTCGGGTGATAGACTCATCAAAGTCTGGAATGTCAAGGATGGAAGGTTGATCCGGACGCTACAAGGACATCAGAAGGGAATCGCTTGTGTCCAATTTGACGACAGACGTGTCGTCAGTGGGAGTAGTGACAACACTGTGCGGATCTTCGACCCCTATTCCAGCGCCGAGGTGGCAGAGCTTAAGGGCCATACGAATCTTGTGCGGACCGTACAGGCTGGGTTCGGTGACCTCCCTGGAAGTGACGAGGAGGACACGGCCAAGGCAAGAGCCGCGGAGTGGAAATTTATCGAAAGTCTCGTGCAAGGTAATTCGGCTGAAGACAGAGGGCACGGTCGACACAGTAGGAATGACACTTCGGGAACCTCTCGGTTCACCCTGGGCTCTAGATTACCACCTGGTGGAGGTGGCAGCAAATGGGGGAGGATCGTCTCGGGATCATATGACGAGACCATCATCATATGGCGCAAGAATGCGTCTGGAGACTGGGTTATTGGACAAGTGTTGCGTCAAGACTCTCCATCTCAGAGCCACGAAGTTCGTGCTCGACCGCGGCACGGTGTTGCCACTAGCATACAGCACGCTCCGCAACCAGTGATGCAACCTCCTCTCAACCTCGCATCGCTCACGGCGGCAGGGTACCAACCCCCTCCAGCAGCGGCCCAGCTGGCTCCTCTGGACCTCACTAATCCTGCTGAAGCAACCCGTCGAGCCGTCACGACAGCAACATCACAAATCATGCAGCAGGCAATGGGGACATCGATAGCGAACCTGGGCGCAGGCCTCACCAACGTCATGAGTATCGGGAGGGTGTTGAATGCCTCGACCGGGACTGGGACTCCGCGCAACAGTCTCAATCTCACCGGCAATCTCAGCCCCAGCTCCCCCAACCACGGGAACTACGCGCAACCAGTGGTTACTACGCAACCCCAGTTAGCTGTTGCCCAGATTGTACAGAATGCGATCATGCAAGCTCGGGCACAGCAGATGCAAAATCAGCAGTCATCAGGCGGATCATCTACGGGCGGTCAAACCCAGCCTCAGCCTCAGCCTCAGCCACAACAGCAACAGCAACAACAACAACAGAACCCTCTTCCACATCATCCTGCTCTGCCTCATCCTCAACCCGGACCTTCTCCCGCAGTTGCTGCAGCGCAACAACAATTAGCTCAGCAACAAGCCCAGGCTCCAGCCAATAACCAACCTGCCGTTGGCCATACTGATGCGAATGCCACGAACGGGGCGAACCAGGTGTCTGTCTCCCGTGTGTTCAAACTGCAGTTCGACGCTCGTCAAATCGTGTGCTGCTCACAAGACAGCCGCATTGTCGGATGGGACTTTGCCAACGGCGACCCCGAGATCATCGAAGCATGTCGATTTTTTGTTGGGCCATGAGTGACAATGAATGATCAAAAACCACACGACCACGGAGAAAGAGAAGGAATAAACCGAAAAGGGTGATAGGGCTTACTACGTCTCTCATCATTCTCTGATCCAGCTCAAGCAGGAGTTTTTACGGCACAAGAGTCAAGGGTCTTGGGTCAAGCACAGCGAGCATCAAAGGGATCTGGTTTGGGGGTGTGGATTGGAAAAATCGCCAGCTAGTCAGTCAGTCAGCTAGTGAGCCAGGCTCGTGTGTAACGAGTGGCCTGTAGCATGAATCATAGGGCACAATGCTATTCTCGCCCTGAGTCCCACGCGTATATTATGAATGTCCTCCCTCGGTCTGGCATCAAATCGAGCCGGACCTTGGTTATTGATTAATTGATTGATTGATCGATCATCATGTCTTTCATGTCTTTTACGTCCCTTTCGCCCCTCCTTGCCCTTGTCCCTTCCCTGACGTCTTGTCCTTCGGCTCCCGCGCGCGCTCTCATTCTTGTCTCTCTTTCTCTTTCTCTCTCTCTATATGTACCCACACCTAACCTACCGTAGTCCCAATGAGGTATGAGGTGAAGTGAGGTGATCTATCTTTCTTTTGGGGTGCGTGCGTGCGCGTAATGTGCGCGGGTCTAATTTCCTCTACTCGAAAACTTTTAAACGCTCGGACGTACATGCATACATACATACATATGACGCATGTGATACATGTGATACATGGCCTTGTGGCTTTGGAGCGTGGGAGGGGAGGGTGGAGATGGTGAGAGGGAGGCACCCTGGAAAGATGGTACTTGAAGAGAGAGACAGGCGACCTGGCCAGTGGGGATCAGTGCGACAAGTGGTCTGGATGTAAGATGCCAGGTGTTGGGGTCCGAAGTTCGAGAAAACTGGCCCTTCGGAGGGCGAATTGCTGCTCCATGTCCGAAACAGGAGTCAGCAGACCCCGTATCCATCTGAGTCTTCGGCTTCAGAATGGGCATTGCGACGGGGTAGGGTTGGATATACACAGGCTCCTTCCATTCCGGTCGGCATCCCTCTCCTTTTCTCTTAAGCTCATTTCTGCTCCGCCATATGGCGTGTACGGTTTCCAATATCGTTTCCCTCACGAAACGTGAACCTGGGCCATACCACTAGCTTTCCTCGCTTTACTGGCGCTAGATGATTTCCCTCTCCTCTTGTCTTCTGCCCGTCCTTCGCTTTCTTGGGCATCTCTTTGCTCGCGCCGTTTGCGCCACTGCCACTCCCACAGCACAGGCAGGAATGACCATAAGTCGAACTCGGGCCACAGCACGTCCAGAAATACAATCTGCGTCGACTCGTGGCATTGCCAGAGCATAAAGTCGCTGAGCCGCGACACCCCCGATGTGCGGATGAGCAGGTCAATGGGTGGGCAACTGGCTGTGTATGTGTGCGAGGTGATTGTCGCCGGAGTGATTAGCTCAGGCGAAGGATACTGTGGAGTCTGCTGAGTAGACTTTTGGGATGTCGTTAGTGGGCGCAGTGGTGGTGAGGGCGACGTGTTGTTATCATCGTGGTGAAGGGTGGTTGCGGTTGACACTGACGAGGCGTCGTGGTCACGATCAGACTGGTCGGGCGAATAAGATGACAAGCTCGTGGTGCTCGATGAAGGTGATCGCATATCCGCCCCAGTGGGCGACAAATATGTTCTCGATGTGGTCGATGTCGATGCTGTGTGTTGTGAAAACTGTTCGGACCAAATGGTGCTCGCTATTCTCTCCTCCTTAAAAGTGCTGTTTCTCCCCTTGCCGTGGATATCCTCTGGCAATGGCGTTGTCCATTCCTCCACCGTGCTCTGAATCGCACTCGTAATTTCTTCTCTCGAGGTATAGGGGAAACAGACGTTCAGGACACAGTTCCCCTCATTCCTGCTGGTCATTTCGACTGCTTTATCCACCGCCTCGAGGACATCCGGCTTGATTAACTCTCGTTGGCCTAATATTCGTATCCTCGCACCGTATCGATCCAACAGCTCGCCGTGTTGCACAAGCTGCTTTAGCTTGATTTTAGCCATGGACATTAAGGCATCAACCTCGTATTTGCTGCGCTTGAAATTCTCGATGCTGAAGGCGTATATCGTTACGGTGTGCACACCAGATTTATAGCACACTTCCAGGATCTATCATCATAGCATGGTCAGCATTGGTGCAACACCCGATGGAGACCCGGTTCATATACTGAAGGGCATCTAGGCCTCCATGATCATCTGTCATACCTTTGCCAATGCCTCAAAACCCAAATTATGTCCTTCAACGGTCTCGATCCTGTTATTCTTTGCATATCGTCTATTCCCATCCATGACAAACGCAACATGTTTAGGCACAGGGCCCTGGCGGAGAGCACCGATTAAGAGTTCACGCAGTTGATTGAGGGCCCATTCTGCGGGCGGCGAGGAGAGGAGCCATTGGCGAAGATTGGATATATGACGGTGTGGCATGATGGCAGAACTTGAAGACGCTCAGATATGGAAGGGAGTAATGCTCGTAGAGACTCGTAGGACTTGAGGCGGTTTTCAACTCATGGGACGCTGCAGTTTTGGGGTCGCTTCGGCGTTTGCATGAAGGTTGTTGAGCAAGGTCACAAGCAAGGACACAGTTTGCAAATGATGGATGCGCAGTAAGAAAGTCAGGGAGATTCGAAAGGAGTGGAAGGCGGTCGCTTAGATACAAGAACGAGAGTTGCGTCGCCTGCGAGCTTCTGTTGAGGTATTGCGCACCCACGCAGCGCTTGGGTTGTCGAAAAGTTGGCACAGACCGCAGCTGGGGACGTAATTGTGGTATTGCGTGGACTCGTACTCGGTACCTGCCTTGTACCCACCCGCACCCTGAAACTCGACCTTCCTTTCCTTGGCACGCTTGGTGCACTTTGGGTAATAATCCATTAGGTGGGTTTGGGGGTTGAGCGGGTCTAAAATTGGCTCTAACCAAGTTGGGCCGAAAACAAACCTCTTTAGCAGCTAGCATCAGCCTCCTGTGACTCTTGCAATATAGCAAAAACGCTTCCCTCCCGCAGACTGCCCGTGAGTTGCAGTGCAGGACTGACAACCTTGCATCAATCGTAATGATTGATCTGTCCAATAGTCTGATCAGAATGATGCGGCTCGCCAATTGACCACGCCAGCTGGCAATTCCTGACTGGTTGAAGAAGCATTCATAGGAACTCGAGTTACAGCCTCATCTGGGAATTTCTCTGACCTTATGTTGAAATATTCATCGAGCACAGTCTCTGAAATGATATCGCTTTTATAATGCGGATTGGGAAGCCTGTCCGGACGTCCAATCCAGACTCCTCTATATGGAAAGGTCTCTCAGAAGATGATTTTCGTCGAACCGTCATTGCACTTTCCAAAATCACCGATGGCGTTCCAGCCGAACCAAAATCCTGGTGGTTGGCTGCTGCCGACAGAGATTCCCCTCCTTCTTCTACTACTCGTCGATCACTGCCTTATCATACTGAGCGAAGACTGGCCGATGACTTTGCGTTCATATCAGCTGCTCAAGAAGGAGTGGAAAGCGTGGCGGCGGTATGTATCGAGGAGCTTCGTGAACCTCCGGGCCTTATCTTTCGTGTTGCCGCAAACGAAGGAATCGGTGAAGAGGACAGAACTGTCTTGCAGCAGATTTGCGATTCTCTAATGTCTTGTGCATCGAATGGTAGGCATAAAATCCACTTGGTGGAAGCGACTGTGTCGCTGTGCTGACTTTTCAAAAGACATTTCGCTTACAGACTGTATTTCAACGACCAGAAGGTTAGTACTTACACTCTCCCGCGGACGTATCATCTCGCGAATACGGCTTTTCCTTGGTCATCAACCTTCTCACTGTCGGGGGTCGGCCACGACATCGAGCCTTCGCCTGGACAATACTATAAAGCGGTTGCGAGCCGTGGCTTCTACACCAGTCGCCGTAAATCTGGTGAACCGAATATCCAAGATAAAAGCAAGATTCCAAAATATCCTACGCTCAGACAACCTACAGGCAAGTCGTGAGCTGGAGGAATGTCTTTCTGAATGCTTCTCTATCACCACTTCCAATGGTTGTACGCCATTCCAGACCACTTTACAAGAGGCCGGATTCGACTCATCTGTATGGTTTAACAACAAATTCATCATGCAAATCGATAAGCTCGGAGCCTATCACAGAATCCCTGAGACTCTATCCCAGGAAGCACATCGAAGAAGGATGAGACCACTTTTCTCGAGTATCAGGCTCGAGTTTATTGATCCGTACCTACCAGTACAGAGCCCTATATCAGTTTCGGGGAAGATGGTCAATTGCCACGTGCATGCAGAAGTACAAATGGTCATTCATCATATTCTCAACGCATCATCGATCATGCCTCGAATCATCGGTACAAGCAAAGCGGCGTGTTTTCTCTGCCATCTCTTCATTTCTGAGCACAAGGTTTTCAGTGTATCGGCATGGCATGGGCGTTTGTACGATCAGTGGACTATTCCAGACCTTACAGAGTATAGCGCCGAAAACATCACGATGCTGAGAGCCATCATACAAGGAATGCACCGCAAATGCACCCAGCTTGGTAGGACGACACATCCGCGGCGTCCGCATCCTCTAACTAGCAGACACAATCTGATGAGTCTTCCCAACTTTTCACCTGCATCAACAATCCCAAGCTTGAGATCAGATCGGCCAACGAGCATCAATAGGGCTGTTGCCACAGACCCTATAGCGGTTGAGACCAGCGTTCCTTGCACTAATGCCTCCCAGTCCTCGGCCTCACCAGCTGTTCCAGGGGTAGAAGACAGCGAATGGGAATCACTGGTAGACGGATCCACAACACCGAGACAGTCAGATCATACAACCGAGTCCGAAGTCGTTGACGAGACCGGTAAACCTAGCGATCCAGGGCCTGAAACCGACAGTCGTAGCAACGGACGTCGGAGTACAAGCTCAAGCGCGTCGGATCTCTCCACAAGAATCTTTCACCTTCACCCTGGCAGGCCACAAGCGATTGACTTGCCGCAAATCCATATCAACGCGGAGATAGAGCCACCTTCTGTAGGGGTGCTCACCTTGAAGAGGCACAACGAAATGAGTAGACATTCCGAAAGTCGAATAGTCAGTCTGGAAGACCTTAAAGAAGGGCATGAGATTAGCTTCAAAAGAGGACAGTCCGAGCCTTCCATTGTGCTCCAGCTCCAGAAAGGTGGTATCAATGTGTGTTGTGTGGCCCTGGAGTGGACGTGAAAACGCATCTGATAGCAAGTTACTGGGACGTTGAGATATCGGCTGTGGCGCAGGCCAGTTGTGGCGGGGAGGCGGAGGCGCAGACTTGGCACTAGATGTCGACGTTTGATGTCACGTGTCGAGGTTGGCCTGCGTGGCGAACGATGGGGCAAGTCGGAAGCTGCTCATCATCTGGTCTCTGCGCTTCCACATCCCCCATCACCATCCATCACCCGCCAGCCAGCCTGCCAAACCTCCCTCTCTCAAAGAGCCCAAGGCGTGGCAAGTCAAGATCACCATTATTTCCTTAGATAGTCTCTTTCTTCGAGCTGTTCTTTTTCCTTCATACTGTTTGTCTTCTTACCAAGGGTTTCTTTTTTGTGTTTCTACAGCGGCCTGCCGCCGCCGCTCAATCCCGATCATGGCTTTACAGGCTCCCCTCTCCCAGTTGCCTGTAAGTATACTGGCCGTCTCACAGAGACTCGCCGTCCCGCTGACTGTTGCGCTTCCTCAGAGCCTCTCCGCAATTGCTCCAGATGTCTTTACGACGCTACCCTCGCTCTTTACTTCGCCGCTTCAAACTCTCCGACGCTATCGCCTGGCGCGGCTGCGCACCGAAGGAGATGTATCGGGTTCGCGGCAGATACATTCAGCAGGGAAAAATGTAGGGCAGTCAACGGTACAAAAAGAAGTTCTCCGAGATGGGAATGTTCCTAACGCCTCGCAGCTTTCTTCAAATGTCGTTCTCCCAGATTTCCTCGCCTCCCTTCCGACCAACAGTATCCCATCGCAAACGCTCAACCTAAATCCTCGCCGAACAATACCCTGGATGTCTCGAACCATTTCCTCATCAGTTACCTCTCATTTGAACCTGGCACCGACCCTGCGCCGGGATTTGTCGACCAGAGTTTCCAATGCCTCACCAAGTGCCCCCTCAGGAAAACGCTCGATGAGATCACCTTTGACACAGTCTTCATTCACTTCTTTAGTGTTTGGTCCCCCGCGGCGAGGGAATAACTCAAGCGCGAACAAGCAATATCGACAATTTTCAACGACCTCCCCGCTGGCCAACCAAAACATGTTGGCCCACGCCGAACGTACTGCGAATAACAATCCTACTAGTGCCACCGCCCAAAATGCATTCTATTCCGCCCTCCTCCGTGCAAACATGCCCAAGCTCGTCATTGAAAGATATCAGTCAGGTCGATATGCCACCAATCCCGCAACTGATGCGGCATATCTCAAAGCTCTACAGATGACCGGCTCGGTGCCCGCCCCGGGCACGCCCGGTTCCAACGTTACTGGCACACAGGGAAATGGGCTCAGTGCAGACAAGCTAAGGGCCGTAGGCCAGGCGGTTGCTGGACAGAACTATGGTGGGCAAGTGATCATGCCGAGCAACAAATCTGGTACAGGTGCCAAAGAAGCGCCGCTTTATGTGGTGGTTGAAGAGTCATGGGGTGCAACCATCCTGAAGTGGGTTCGAACGTTTCTCTGGGTCGGCTTGTCTGGCTACTTCCTCTTGGTGGTCCTGACCATGGTCGTGGAGATGACGGGTAGTTTCCGGACGAGGGTTGGACAAAACAACGAGGTACAACCCCAACATCAGACCGTTCGCTTCAGCGATGTGCATGGTTGCGATGAGGCCAAAGAGGAACTTCAAGAGCTGGTCGAATTCTTGAAGAACCCGGAGAAGTTCAATCAACTAGGAGGCAAGCCCCCCAAGGGTGTTCTTTTGGTGGGCCCACCTGGTACTGGCAAAACGATGCTTGCGCGTGCCGTTGCAGGCGAGGCTGGCGTGCCGGTGTTCTACATGTCTGGGTCCGAGTTCGATGAGCTCTATGTCGGAGTCGGTGCTAAACGCGTTCGGGACCTCTTCACTCAAGCCCGCAACAAGGCGCCTTCGATCATCTTTATTGACGAACTGGATGCCGTTGGCGGCAAGCGGAATGCACGTGACCCTGCTTATGCGAAACAGACACTCAACCAACTCTTGACGGAATTGGATGGATTTAGCCCGAGCACCGGTGTTATTCTCATCGCCGCGACCAACTATCCGGAGTCTCTGGATAAGGCGCTCATTCGACCGGGACGATTCGACCGACATGTCAATGTGCCTCTCCCCGATGTTCGCGGTCGGATACAGATCCTAAAGCACCATATGAGAAATATGCCCATCGCAGCTGATGTGGATGCGACCAATCTTGCACGCGCTACAAGCGGCATGTCTGGCGCCGACTTGGAGAATCTTTGCAACCAAGCTGCAGTTCATGCTTCACGGTTGAAGTACAAGAAAATCACAGCCATGAACTTTGAGTGGGCCAAGGATAAGATCATGATGGGGGCTGAAGCCAAATCCCGCATGATTCGAGAAAAAGACAAGATTCAGACCGCTTATCACGAAGCTGGCCACACTTTGGTCAATTTGTTTACTCCGGCCAGCAATCAACTGTATAAAGTGACCATCATCCCACGTGGTCAAGCACTTGGTGTCACTCACTTTCTCCCTGAAATGGACGAAGTGAGCCGAGGTTACGATCAATTCATCGCTTCGATTGATGTCTCCATGGGTGGTCGAGCCGCTGAAGAATTGATTTATGGTCCAAACAAGGTGACCAGCGGTATCTCGCACGATGTTCAGCAAGCCACTCGGACCGCATTTTATCTTGTCACCCAGTGCGGGTATTCCCCCAAATTGGGAAATGTCGATCTTGCTTCCGACTATGACAAGCTATCGAGCGAGACGAAACAGGAAATCGAACGAGAAGTGCGGCAGATTGTGGAAGGCGGTCGAGAACGAGCGGATCGAATTGTCAAAGAGAAGCGGAAAGAACTCGAAGCCTTAAAAGATGCACTTTTGGAATACGAAACACTAGACCGGGAGGAAATTATGAAGATTCTACGTGGGGAGAAGTTGAAAAAGATCGAGGTGGAGCTCCGCGAGGATGACGACACTGACAACGGAGATAATGGGCGAGGAAACAAGTCACAACCCAAGAAGGAGAAGGAGGTTGGCTCCAAAGGCAGCTTAGGGATTAAGCTGCCTGACGTGCTGCTGCCACCTGGGACAGGTGGAAGAGGCGGAGAGAAGGAAGGCGTGTCACGGGTCAGTGATAGATGACATTGAATATGTCGGTCTTCGTCGTGGATTTAATTAGCGAGTAAAATGACTCTCTTATCGTGGAATTCAAAGGTTATCCTCTGTACCTCTACAGGATGTGCTGTTTGTAATTCAGCTGGCACGTCGAGCATGTTGAATTCAAGGAATACAGAGAGGTGGCTATGCTTCATACTTTGTTCCTAGCAGAGATTCTCGAGCAGGTAGGTGCCTATGTACTATAAGTATATATTATAGGTCACCGTTGCACTTGTTAAGACAGCCGAAAGAGGCAGGGCACGTATCTGATAGGGATACTAACATAGTTGTGTGCACAATAGATGTGCATACACTCCCACGTGTCTCCCTTATCCAGCACTGATGTCACTTTTTGTCTGACGGGGACCTCTAATATAGAGCACACCAACATAAACACTCGGTCTGACGTGACCTTGCACCCAGGTCACATACATTGTATACCATTCATTTTTTTCCTTGAATCTTCTGGCACCTTCACAATTATAGCACCGTCGTAACTCAAATCCCACATACCCTACTCGACCGGTGCTCTTAAATGGCCCGAGCAAATGAAAACTCCAATTGAGAAATACAAGATATCTACAGCCTTTGTCTCCCTCATCCTGTCTTGGGTAACCTTGGAGAGCTCAGCGGCGACACGAATACCGGACTTTGAGCATCTGATCGTGATGTGACGCTCGACAGCACTGGTGATCTCTTCTCAGTGCCTGTCGCAGCGGCTTGCACGGGTGTCCCTGGCGGGGAGCCAGGTGTTGCTTCGGTGGGTGCGCTTACTGAGCCGGTGGGTGAAAACACTGGATGATGCTCGTGGATGAATGTGCTGCCGGGCAGCTCCTGTGGGATCGATGGCGGTTGCTTCTGGAGGGCGACCGGACCTGCGGCGTTCGGGTCATATGCTGGCGGCGACGAGGGGGGAAAGATGGGCCACCCGTTCGCAACCCCCACGGCTCCAGGAGATCCTGCTTGACCTTCCGGGCTGTCCAGTTCGTGCGCGGTTGGCGCCCTCGACATTGACATTTGAGACAGAACAGGCTCTTCTGGCGGGAATGTCGTCGTGCGGTTGGCCTCTGCGGCCCGCCTCGCCTTGCGTCTTCGCCGAACCCAGAAGAAGGTCGCGAGACACACTATACATATCACCACCCAGATGGAGACGGGAATGGCAATCTTTGCTCCTGGTGGAAACTTGTTCTTCCCCTGCTGTTGTGGCACGAGCGAATACTTTTGCGAGAAGACGTGATCGGTGATCAGCGTCAGACCGGCTATTGCTGGAGTCGATGCAGGGACTAATGTCGTGGCAGGCACCGAATAACACGGAGTATCCTGCCCAACCGCGGTGTAATATATCTGATATCCACTGACACTCCATTAGCCTTGCGGACCCGTTAAGACTGGGGAGGTAGAGTACTTACAGTGGACAGCAGGCACTGGCGGTTGTGAAATAGTCCTGCGGGCATCTCGTGATGAGTGCGTTGAGTCCGTATTCATATGCACAACAATCTGGTCGGTTAGGAGAACAGCCGACGTTGGGATATTCCGTCACTCGGCCAGCAGCGTCCGTGGCTATCGCGAAATACGGCACCGTGCAGCTGCCCGTCATCAGCGGTGCTCCAACAAAACTTGCTGCCGTTGTCGGTTTCCCGGCTGTCGGCTCTGGCGTTTCCGACACTGGTTCGCCCGAGATGGTTGAGATGCTCGGATTGCTCGAGGAAGAAGACGTCGAAGCTGGCTGAGTTGATGGAGCTGCTGCTGGTGGCGTGAGACTCATGCTGGCGAGCGCACTTGAAAGTCCTGCTGGGGAACATCCCACAAAATCCGGCGCGGTCTCGTTGACAGCAGTACACTCCTGCTTGTTGAACTGGATAGCCACTATTACCGTTGTCAGAAGTCTGTATATTTCGCAGCGCACCACACACGACTCTCACGTACATGCTTGCTCGTCGGAATTACACTGCGTGTAAAGGCAACAAGACAATGCGCTGACATATGCCGAACTCGAACAAAGGCAGGCGATATCGATCACCGAACATGATTTCTGAGCAGAGGTCGAATTCGAGAGACATCCTTGCTGTTGTTCACTCTGTCAACACTCCCCACTCGGCCAACGAGGTGACAAAACTTACTGCACACTGAGGGATTTCCTGTACACTGATGGCATCCACGAGGCCCAGACAAAGGAGATGGAGGAGAAGGATGAAGAGCTTCATGACGAACGAAGCTCAAGTCGTCAGTCAGTCAATCAGAGGCCGAGGGAAGGACGACGACGACAGTCGTGACTGCACCATGCAAGAAGTCGTCTTCTGCGGTCTGCGGGAAAATTCAGGGACCCGAACTCAAATGCTGGTTGATTGACCTTGAAGAAGGTGAGCCACCTGATAGTACCCCAGGGCTTTCTGTTTTCGGATGGGTTGTCAAACAAAAGAGACATTCCTGCGGTACCCGGGGCGACATTCTCTGAACAATGGGTCGAGGGTCGGTGCTTCCCAGCACAAAGCGTAGCGATGTCAAGGCTGGAATGTTGGCGAGCATTCCTCCACACTTGGACCAACGTACACGCACACACATCAACGACCAAGGCTGGATGACGAAAAAGGCTTGCGACGACGTTCCTGTGGTCTTTGGTGACAACATGCTCTGGTAGAGAGTCTGGTTCCTGGGTAGGCTCAATATGCAGAGTCTCGGTCCCAACGACTTGCTATGTATGTGCTTGGGCCAATTCCGGCACCACAGCCTTTCTTTGGACAGATTTCATCATACAACTCAGGCGTAGCAGGCCTCGTCTTCTGATGAGGAGATGTTTTGAAGGGATGAGTCTTTGTGCAAGTTGGTCTTTAGGTCGACTCAATATCTATCGTTCCTGGCAGCAGCACCTATTCAACCCGCCGACTCCAAGTCCACCAAGATACCTGCTTCGTATTTAACAAGGTTCAAGAAGAGACATTGCAAAGACAGGGAGAAGCGAGATTACTGGCTCAGCCATCCCCGCAATATGGCTTGATTGGCTGATCGTCAACGCCCATCAACTTCTCCCCGAGTGGATCTTGATGATGGAAACATTGTCAGATCTAAGCCTCGTTCAGCCCGCTAGCTGCCCTGCCGCAATTTCTACGAGCAGCCCAAAGGGACGCCCGAGCAAACAAGCATCCCTAATGGCAGAAACACAGAGGTATGAACTAATGGTTCTTTCTGCCCAGGGCACGGAACCATCGGAGCTCGTGTCGACGTGGCTTTTAATAATATCAAATCAGCCATGGCCGAGCAATTGTTTTGTTCTTGCCGCATGATCTCGGGCCAAGAGACTTTGTATCCAGAAAACACTCCATCTTCCTGCGACGATGAAATACCTCATCATGGCTGTGTCACTGATTGCAAACTTCGATCATTCATAAGAAGAACTATATTCCTTGTGGTCTGTCCCTGCGATACTCGACCTCTGCTCCGGCAAACTGTCCTCACCACTACCAGGAAATTTCCACACAATGACTTCCAGCACCGCTTCGAGGCCAACAAACTTCCTGAAAAGGATCTTGTGCTGCTTCGACGACGACGAAGACGAGCGACCACAACAGACGCCTCAGACACAGCAAGCTCCAAGGACACGATGGGACGCTGCACCGCCCATCGATCCTGAGGAGGAGGAACCGGCAGCACCTCCACCGTATGCCATCTTCGACCCTCACCCGGAGGACTGCAACTGCGCGATCCACATACACAAGCCGAAGCCCAACCGACCGATCATCGTCGAAGCGTTCCAGTCGCAGGGCTGCAACTCGTGTCCGCCGACAAACACACTCCTCCTATCGCTGCTGACGCTGGGTGACCCGAACATCCTCGTCCTCGACTACCACGTCACGTACTGGGACCACCTGGGGTGGACGGACCCGTTTGGCACGGCCGGGGCGGACGAGCGCCAGCGGGAGTACGCGCAGGCATACGGCACGTCGAGGGTGTACACGCCGCAGGTGGTGGTGAACGGCGTGTCCGAGGGCGCGGGCAATTCGACCTCGAAGCTCGAGCGGCTGATCAAACAAGGCGGCCGGCTCGCCAGCAAGGACTGGCCGTGGCTGCTGTTCTCCAAGGTCGACACCGGCGTCTTCATCCGCGAGGCCAATCCGGAAGCCGCCGCGACGGGCCGCATCGGCACCGTCGTCGAGGTCATCTACGACCCGACCCTGCAGGAGGTTAATGTGTCGAGAGGCGAGAACGCCGGCAAAACACTGGCGCATCGCAACGTCGTCAAGAGCGTCCGCAACCTCGGCGAATGGAGAGGTGGGAGAGGTGTGGTGCCCCTCCCTCCGCGCGACACCACCGACGGGCTGGAGAGGGTCTTGATCGTGCAGGAGGGGAGCGGTGGTGGACAGATTATCGGCGTTGCGCGGATCCATTTCTAGCATGCATGGCTGGTTGGCCTTCCGTCCTGTTTTCTATATACCACATGCCACATACCACATAATAATACTCCACGCGAGGCTCAAGCAGGGTCGAGCAAGTCACTGTTGTTGACTCTACCCTTCCATGCCAATGAACGCCGCGTACAAATATCAATCATTCCAGATGTTGTTGGGGAGAGAAACGAGTCACCAACACTTTGGGGGCCAGATTCACACTCACAGCTTTTGTGTTACACAAACCCAACACAGGCAACCAGGCAACACACCCCCGGCACTCCACTCTCCCCCCTTGCTGGATCTTCACACACTCTTCATTGTCAATCACAATCTCGGTCACAGTCAAAATCGTGCTCGTCTATCCACCACCATTTTCCACCAAAAGATGCTGGAGAAGACTGCACAGCTGGTAACGATGTCTGCCGAAGCAATCGGCGCAGCGGGACGGCGTTATGTCTTCAAAACACTGATTCAGGAGAGACCGCACCTCGGTCGCGTCTGGTTAGCAACGTTCGTGTCCCTCCCCCCTCCCTCGCTCACACATAACTATAGATCCGCTAGTGAAACTGACGAATACTGTACCGGGTATGTATGTAGATCCGGCCAAGACAGGTTCATCCTCAAGGACGTTCCCCCAGCCATGTTCTCTCACTTCCACGAAAGCATCTGGCCCCAACTCCGCGGCTGTCAAAACGTGCGTTTGCCGGTCGACATGATCCGGGACCAGCGCGTCTTTGTGTACAAGTGCTTGGACGAAGACTTCCTCGACCTCGTCAAGAAGCGAATACCAATCAAGGCGAGGAAGGAGATCCTCAAGGCCAGTCTGCGGGGGATCGCCGAACTTCACGACCGCGATGTCGTGCATCTAGATACGTAGTTTGCCTATCGTGCTATTTTGAGAAGACTTCTTTCATCCCTGTGTCCCTTTCCTGCTAAGTCGGGTCTACGATGTGTCATGACGTGGCGCTAATCGATCCTTTCCTTTTGGTTTGTCCAGACATCAAACCCGACAACATCATGGTCGACTATCACAACCAAGACGGTGGAGAAACGACAATCAAGCAGGTCCAGATTGCCGATCTCGAAAACGCAGCTCATCTGCCCAAAGGCAGATGCATCAAAGGCACGCTGGCCGGAAACGACAACTGGCGCAGCCCGGAGGGTCATTTCAGGGGTGAACTCAACAAGCCGACCGACATTTTTAGTTTTGGAGCCGTGGTGAGTTCTCTCCAGAGCCTGAATGAGATACATCGGTTCTAACATACAAACTTTGAACTTTTTATCTAGTGCATCTACGCCATGCTCGGTCGCGTCGTTTTCGGGAGTGACGACGACTTCCGAAAATTCGAATCACTCGGCGTATTCCCCACCGTTATCCGCCTCCAGCGCCAGGTCTCGTATTTCGGAACTCGAGAAGGATTGAACAGACTTATGACACACGTCGGCGACCAGGAATTTAATTGTCAGGTCTTGAGGTGGCTTTGGGATGGTCGCGCAGCCGAATACCACCCGTACAGGTCGTTCTCGACATGGTCGGAGCTAGATCTTTCGACGAACGCGGACACGGACACGGACATTGACATTGATACGGCGGCGTTCACAGATCTCGTTCAGCGAATGATGGATCTCGACCCGGCGAGGCGGATCACAGCGCGTCAGGCCTTGGAGCATCCCTGGTTCGAGGATACAGAGACGGTTTAGATGCGAGCAACAAGCAACAATCAATTGGATGGGGATTCTTGATTAGTACACCCTCGATCACGGCGCAGATGCACATGTCAATGCCCGTGGAGATGGATACTTGGATGGCATCACACCACACCGCAGTCTGAGCGGCATAGAAGGTGTGGCCTACGAGAAGGTATCTAGCTAAGCTATGTATCTGTGACAGAACTGCTATCCTCACACAGCACCACGACACTATGACATCGCGGACGTACGAGAGTGCAGGCGAGGCGAGGCATGGCAGGGGCGTGAGACAAGTGGAATGAATAGCATTACTTACTGTACGAGTACCAGCAAATCGCCTGAATAAGTCTTCGAATGGTGGATCGAGACCTATCTCTAGAAGAAGAGGTCTGGTATTTCATTGGGCTCCGTCGAAAAGAACAAGAAGTAGGGCATTGAGCCACGGTCTAAGCCACCATAGAACCACGTTTCCGGTGGTCTCAATGCCCGTGGTTGACCGATTATACCCCGAAGTTGTTTCATTATGGCGCTTTTCTGTGAGGTTTGTCACGCCGGCCAGGTGTCTTGTAAGGTATCGCCTTCGCACGTAGTCCATGATGATGAACACTTCCCCCATCCTCCTGATATATCGCTCACAGCCGTGGCATCAGGAGGGACGACAAATGCTGATGTAAATGATCATATGGTTTCTTTCTTGGATCTTGGTAACTCGGCCATGTTTAAGAACAAAGTGCAGACCTACAGCCTTGACAGTCTGGGCGGAGCGATGGTTCAAGATAGTGCCGGACGCTCGAATCTCCTGTGCAGTAGGAAGCGGGACTAGAAGCTGACCCGCCCGATGTAATATGGGAGGTTCGGAGGTGTCCACATCTCTTCAGAGTTGTTTTGTCTCGTGTGATTGACGTCCCGGAGCTGGTGAAGTGGACGTCGTTACAGCCCGCTTCAGGCGCGGTCAAGACAGGAATGCATTTCAGCAGTGGAGATTAGGCTGTGGAGTAAGTATGGTATGCAGAAGTTGTGGCAGAATAAGGGGAGCAGGCGTGCTGATACTTTCGTTTTGCATACATGTACCAGTTAGGACGCAAAGGCTTTATCACATGTAACTTTGTGCAAGACATAGACATAGCAGCACGTGAGTCTGAGCGGGCACTGGATCTTCCGATCTGGATTGGACTTTACAAAAAGCTTCTGGTAAAAGTACCAAGTGGAGATGAGGAAGCCAAAGGAGGAGAAAGACATGTGCTTTGGAGAAAGATGCGAGCTTACGAGGAATCGCATGAGCGACGAACTATTTAGGCCCCTTTCCAAGCCTTGGCATTGTGTGGTTCCGTTCCGTCTAACCGTGGTCTCCATCATTGGTTCAACCTCATCGGCATCTTTCCTTGTGCGCTTGTCTTGAGGGATCAGCTTATCCTTTCTGAGAGCCCTGCAGATGCCTGTGGGTCGTCTGTGGATACCACATCGCACTGAGATGAGCCTGGTGGGATTGTTCCCATGCTGAGAGCCGACCTTTGACAAAGAAACGAGCTGCGGCATTTATGCGACAGTTGATCCTTAGGCCAGAGCCCTGTCCAAGGTCACCTACGAGTACCTCCTCTACGATCCGGTTCAATATCATGCCTTTGATGACCATGAATGTGGTCACTTCAACGATGACCCACAAATGCCCACACCTTGTCGTTGACCTGCTCCAACTTTCTTCTGTCTGCTGGTCTGTTTGCCCACCTCCAGCGTAGGTAACATGGCAACTGATCAATCCACACCTCCGAAAATGAACGGAAGCAGGACTATCATCACGGTGTCTCTTATCATCGTCATTGTAATGGTTGTCTGTGTTCTTTCAGTCTGTATCAAAACCTCCAGACTTCCTCTCCAGACTCGCGGTGAAATGCTGCACCGACGGCAGATTCAAGCACTCCAAATGCGCGATCACGGCGGTATTCGCAAATCTACGCTACAGCTACTACCTGTGGTGGAATATCATGTTGGGACGCTCCCACAACCAAGAGGAGGAAATTCCAAGCCGAGCAGTGACAATCCAGAAGAGCAGAAGCCGGACACAGATTTGAAAGAAGGCATGGACAGTTACACGGTGGCAAGATCGCACGTTGTCAGACCTGTCCGGGCACACCTCAGACAAAGGAGCCCCAAGTCCATTTGTCGAGACTCAGTTCACCAGACAGAGCCACCAGAATGTCCCATATGCACGCAGCCCTTCATCGTCAATGATACTATTCGCGTCCTCCCTTGCGGTCATAGGTATCACCGGGGCTGTATTGACCGGTGGCTTTTGCGCTTCAGCGGGACCTGTCCAGTCTGGTACGTCCGAGCATGCTTCTTGTAGAGCTTGTAGAATCGATTACATATTGAAGCCGATGCTAACTTTCTTCTTCGTGGTCCTCAGCAGGATCGATCTAAGGACAATCTTGCCGTCTTGAACCAAATATGTACCTTTAAGTCGCAGGATGTCTGACGAGCCGCTTGGATTTGAGCGTGGGAGTTTCAGCCGGTGCTGAAGTTGTAGTATCAGCCCACTCTTTGAGTAGCTCAGACAGATGCTGGAGGCCCTTGAAAATGCTTGAGAGAGTCTTAGCACCTTGGAATTCAGACCCGCTCAGGCCGGACCTATTTCATTGCCTCTGTTATCAAAGACACCACATTGGTAGAATCCACAAGTAGTCCAAAGGCGCAAAGGCTTGATAGCACGTGGGCAACCGACCGAGTCCATCCCACCGAATGTCAGGCAGTGGAGAGCGGAACCTTCGAAATGTGGTATGAGGCATTTTGCCTGCGCATCCCACGAACCCGTCAGCTTCATTGACTTCACCCTTTTTCCTCGTCTATTTTCATCCACTATTATCTCCACGCTTGCTTGAGCCATGCAGATAGTCTCCACCGACAGGGGATGCCTCGACCGAGACACACATCACCCCTGCTTTCAATACGAGCCCGCGCTCATACTGCCAACCTTGACCAGCTGTGACACATTGAATCGTGTCTGTAACAATACAGAAGCCCCAGTCAGATAGGCTGGGGTCTCTCTCATAGACCAACCACCTCATCATCTCGCTAATCAAAGAAACCTCTCACAGGTAGCTCGTCGCTAGATGGAGGTGGCTGCAGCCTCCACCCCTAGAGCGTGGCAATGCTCGCTTCCTCTTCTCACGAAAATAATGCACACAACCGCTCTAATTACTCCCCCGTCCGTCTGGGAGATATATTTGATCCAACCTCCTGCTCTGGCTCTCCCTTTGGACCCTTTCTGTCTTCACATTTTGTCCTTGCCCGTTAGTTTCAAGGCACAGTGGATCCGAGGTCAACTATCGGCGGTGCTTGCTCTGTCCCTCAAGTCTCTTCTCGTGCAAACAACGCCACCATGAGTAACCCTAACGGCCAGCCAAATGAAGCAATACACTCCGCGAGATCACAGAGCATTGTCGGTGGTGACGGTGGCGGAGTTTATACTCTCAGGAGTCAAGAGGCGTCGGCGTTCGGTGTGGCTGCAATCCAGTCTTTGGAAAAGCCAAAAGAGTATATCAAAGACATTGGCATCGACTCTGAAACTGGCAGTGTAGACTCGCGAGACATCAAAAGAAGACAGGTACGGTGCCATCATCGACGACTGCCCTCAGAAATCAAGGTCGTTCTGACTTCGACAGGTTTTCCATGGATGGAAACTCTGGTGGCTTGCCTATCAATCCATTGGAGTGATCTACGGCGACATCGGCACCAGTCCATTGTACGTCTACTCGTCGACCTTCTCGTCCCCTCCAAGCCACGAAGATCTAGTGGGTGCATGCTCCTGGATTATCTGGGCGCTCACGATCATGGTCACCATCAAGTACTGCTTTATCGTGCTCCGAGCCGACGACGAAGGAGAGGGTGGCACGTTTGCACTGTTTTCCCTATTGACCCGTTACGCCAACATTGTTCGTCGCCATCCTCGAGAAGCGCAAATGGTCAGGATGGAGCGGCACATATCTGGAGATCTCCGGAAACCAGCACGAACCGCGCGCAATCTAATGGAGCGCTCTTCTGCCGTCCAGTGGACTCTGAAAGTCCTGGGCGTGTTTGGTGTTGCTCTCGTCATGTCCGATGGCGTCCTTACTCCAGCCCAATCTGTCCTTGGTGCGATCCAGGGAATCGAAGTCGTGTCGCCGAATATCAACCAGGCGACAGTGATTGGATCTTCTTGTGCCATTCTCATCGTCCTCTTCCTGTTGCAGCCCTTTGGAATCACGAAGCTCGCGAGCACCTTTGCTCCTATCGTCATTGTTTGGCTCCTCTTCAATGCCGTCTTTGGCATCTACAACTTGGCTAAGCACGATGCCTTTGTGCTGAAGGCATTCTCCCCGTACTATGCCGGACACTACCTCGTCAGGAATGGAAGAGAAGGATGGATCAACCTGGGAGGAATCCTCTTGGCCTTCACAGGCTGCGAGACTCTCTATGCCGACCTTGGAGCTTTCAGTGCCCCAGCAGTACGGCTGTCTTGGCTCTACTTTGCCTACCCTTGCCTGCTCTTGAGCTATATTGGACAAGCAGCCTACATTGCTGATATCCCCGATGCTTACAACAACCCGTTCTTCAAGACTGTGCCGCCGGGGTGCATCTGGCCTTCACTTATCATCGCGATCCTCGCCGCCATAGTCGCCAGTCAGGCCACGATCACTGCGACGTTCCAACTGTTGACTCAGATCATGAAACTATCATACTTCCCACAACTCAAGGTGGTGCATGTGTCCGAGATTTTCTATGGCCAGATCTACATGCCGATCGCGAATTGGCTCCTCATGATCGGGACCGTCATCATCACCGGGGTCTACACCAACACCACCAACCTCGGGCACGCCTACGGAGTCTGTGTCATTCTTGTAACGTTTCTCACCACCAACATGGTCGCAGTGGTGGCCTTGATCGTCTGGCGCTATCCACTCTACGTCGTTGCGCCCATCTGGCTCATATTTGCACTGTGGGACGGTGTCTTCCTCTCCTCTGCTCTCACCAAAGTCCCCAACGGTGCATGGTTCACCCTGGCCCTCTCCGTCGTCTTGGTCTGCTTTTTTGTTCTTTGGAGATTCGGCAAAGAGGAGCAATGGAAAGCAGAAGGATTCGAGCGGGTCCCCACGTCCGACATATTCAGACCTACCGAGAGCACCAGCGAATACAGCCGCAGACTCAGACTCAGTTCTGCTTTCGGAGGCGAGGAAATCACGCGGATCAATGGTATTGGCGTGTTTTTCGACAAGTCCGGCGCGCCGTCCACAACGCCCACAGCGTTTATACACTTCCTCCAAAAATTCCACGCTGCCCCTGACGTGGTCATCTTCTTCCATCTGCGGCCTCTGGAAATTCCCACTCTGCCCGCCGAGGAACGGTACCAGATCGTCCGATGTTTTATGGGCACAGGAGCCGGTAACGGCAAGAAACAGCCCCTGCCAAACTGCTACCGCGTCATCATTCGTCACGGGTACAACGACGAGGTTGTGAGCCAGAACCTGGGACTGTTACTGCACGACCAGGTGCGGGATTTCCTTCTCCACGAGGGGTCGGCTGACCACGAGAACCCGTCTCTGGGGCAGATGAGCAACAACGACAACGGGAAGCGAGTGGTGCTTGCAGAAAAGACGGTGAACTCGGAGAACGCGTCGTTGGAGCCATCCCCGGAGTCGCAACTCACGGAGCCACTGTCCGAGCTGCAGCAGGCCTTCACCAAGCAGGTTGTCTACATCGTGGGCAAGGAACAACTGCGTGTCAAGCCACACACGAATGTTTTCAAGAGAGCCGTGCTGGAAGCGTTCCTGTGGATTCGGGAGAATACACGAACCAAGGTGCAGGCGCTAAATATCCCCGTGGACAAGCTCGTCGAGGTTGGATTCATCAAGGAAATTTGAGAGCTGAAGAAAAGATAGAACCGGCAAGGTATGCCTGTACTCCATGGGAGTCTAGGAGAGTCTACTGATCTCAGACTCATCTTTGCTCAAAAGTTATCTCTGCGCCGACATACTCTTGATCTTACTACTCGAGAGCCACGCGCAATCTACAGGCACAAGCAGTCAGTCACACGGACTGTGAGACGCGCCTATATAGTACCTACCATGGAGCTGGGAGATTCTCTGCGCCAGTAGAAAATGAAAAAGATCTGACATGTTTTGTCCCCTGGTTCCCATCAGGCTATACAGCTGGCCGTTTGCGAGATGTTTGTGCAACGCTTTGAAATGCTACAATCTGCCAGCCTGATCGAATATTTTGAGATTTCTCACCCCCGACTACATATCGTCGACTTGAATGATCGACGAGTGGCTATATTGAATGCCGAATACATTGATTGATCTTCTAGAGTCGAAGACGATAGAGTACCAAACAGGACTAGCGACGCGGTCCTGTTGTCTCAGTGTAACAGCTAGCGCCTTGGCAATATCAGTGAATCTGCCAACTCCGCCAAGTATCGGATATTTGATTCACAAGTCGTAGTCAACAGCGCAGGCCACCAGTCACAGTCACAATCACAGAGATGTATATATCGGGTACCGGTACAAACCCGCGTGCCGGCACAAGAAATTACTCGTATATATGTTTTCTCCCTCCGAGTCTTGGCACGCAAAGACCCCTTTTTCATCATCCACAACAAAGGGCGAAAATCCGAAAATCCGAATTACCACGAGTTCGAGTCACGGTTACGACGACAACATCTCAACCCAGTGTAGTAAAAATTCCCCGTAGTATAACCGGCCGGCCGAGAAAAAACCAACTCCCCGCAAGAGGGGGCCGAGTTTTCCTTATCACAGACCAGGTGGGTTGAGCTGTTCTGTGGATAAGTTTTTTTTGCCCGTTTTGTGTGTGGTTGGAAGAAGTGGCCCACCCATTAGTCCTTGCCTTGTCACTATACGAGGTACTTTAAGTCCATGTGTATACTCGAACGCCACCCCTAAGCGGCAGAGAACGCCTTGTCGTGATGCTTGACACTCTTTCTTTGCAGACCATGTCGCAACCTCACATTGGAAGGGATTCAAGAGGCTGGATCGGCTCTTTGTCTCGGTACTCTCTGTGTGGCACGAGACTGATTAAACTCAAATTCTAAGAGGAGGATACCAGGTTGAATGTGAGGTGCTTGAAAATGAGATGAGCAATTTGCTGTCGGACAGCGTTGAGCTCGAGTCCTGGTTCGAGCTGCGAGCATTGTCCTTGTCCAATGAGCACACTCTGCAGACGACTTAAAAACAGAACATCCAGGAACGACTAGAGGCTCTGCGCGCGTGAGTCTGCCACTGATGCCTCGAACCATGGAGCTCTTCCCATCCCAGCACGATCGAAACCAGACCACGCCATCAGAGGTAGAGAGAAGCACCAGACTATATTCTTCGCCTCGGTTTCCGAAGACCAAGATACCGGTGCCCTCATCGCGAGATCTCCTACCAGAAAATATTCGACAAATGGTGAACCCCGCCGACGCGATCACTAACTAACTGGCCATCCATGCGCAAGCGCTCGTGCCGCAAGATCCACTGCGGGGCCGCCTTTGTCGTTCGTTCCGTCTTCCCGGGTGTCGGATCCTGATTCCTGAGGGCTGACTGACCTGCATCTTTTCCACAAATTGCCCGGGGCCTGCTTTGTAACGCCGTTCGGGTGGCGTGGATAGCGTTTGTGACAGCCTGCATGCTTAGAGGTGCCGGTGTTGATAATCGATTGATTGGTCACGAGTCAGCCTCGGTGTGATTCGTCCAATTCCGCCAAAAGAATTTCCTATCGCGATATAAACAGGATCAAGCCACGGGCTGACAATGATCTAGATATTTCCCCACTCAGCAGTGATGGTGCTCTCTTGGGGGATTGATGATCATCTTTGGAAGACGGTGAGATTCGCTAGACGCCGCCGTCATCCGCACAGGATTAGTGTGGATGGTGCAGGGAGGTGCTGGACTGCATCTTGCGTATAAGTGCCATATACAACGCGGATGGCGTTTATGGAATCACCACAGCACACAAGTATCGCTCGATTCCTCCCCCTTCCTTTCTCTCCGACCCCTCCAGTGCACGTTCAGATGACAGTATGTATGGTCTAGTCCTCTCCAACTTCAACCTGGTCTGCGCCGCATTCGGCGGCTTCCTGCTGAGTTTCGGGCTGGTGTCTGAGACATGGAAGCAACAATTCCTGCTCTCGGAAGCATGTGAGTTTTCCTGACCAGGGTCGCGCGACCTCGAGCTCACAAGACCCAGTGATTGCCTTGGTCGCGGGTGCAGTTCTCTCGAAATTTGCAGGAATCCTCCATCCAGAGGAGTATGGGTGCGAAGAGGACAAGAACATCGACTCAATCACCCTGGAATTCTCCCGGCTGGTGCTCGCGGTCCAGCTGGTCCTCACGGGTGTCCAGCTCCCTCGGCGCTATCTCTCCAAGGCATGGCGATCGGTTTTCTACCTGATAGGCCCAACTCTGACGTTGATGTGGCTCAGTGCAGGCCTGATCATCTGGGTGATGTTGCCGCGTCTGGGCTTCGTCCACGCCCTGGCCATCGGAGCCTGTGTCGCTCCGACCGATCCAATCCTCTCCAACGCGGTCATCAAAGGCCGGTTTGCAGAGATTAATACTCCAAAACCACTGCAGAGTCTCATCACGGCTGAAGCAGGGTTGAACGATGGCCTTGGCTATCCATTTCTCTTCTTCGCACTTTACTGTATCAAGCACTCCGGAAGCAAAGGGTTTCCGCTAGATATGCTCACATCCTGGCTAGGGGGTACTTGGGGCTACGTTGTCATTGTCAGCGTCGTCTATGGCGTGGTGGTCGGCTACGCCGCGCGAAAGCTGTTCTTTGCTGCCAGAAGACGCGGGTTCGTCGAGGAAGAGAGCTCCTTGATATATGTCATTGCGCTGTCACTATTCATCTTGGGTACCTGTGGAATACTGGGAACCGACGACATCCTCGCCTGCTTCGTCGCCGGGTGCACATTTGCGTGGGATGACCAGTAAGTCGGCGGTGGAGATCCTCTTGAGCTGTTACTTACCTCGCAGGTTCGAGCAGGACGCCTGCAGTGTACTCTTCTGGTCCGCAGCGGATATGTTGCTCAACGTCTCCATCTTCATATGGTACGGAGCCGCCGCGCCATGGACATTATTCACCACAAACAGTATCATCTCGCCCGGACGACTATTGGCGCTGGCCGTCCTAATCCTTTGTCTCCGGCGCTTACCGGCAATCTTGATCATGAAGCACAACGTGACCGAGATCGGAAGCCTTTTCCAGGCCATGTTTGTCGGCTTCTTTGGACCTATTGGAGTTTCAGCCATTTTCTATCTGCTAATCGCCGTGGAGTTCCTCGAGGAGTTGGTCCAGGATGGTGGCCAAGCTACGGTACTCGGGGATATACAGTTTCTCCAAGATGCCATGCGGGTCGTTGTATGGTTTCTCGTCGTGAGCAGCGTCATTGTCCATGGCTTGGCCTTGCCGCTGTCTGAACTGTGCTGCTGGATCCCTGTCGCCTGCCGTCTCGTACCTGGACGGGGGTTACTCGACAAGTCTGATGACGCAGAAGCCGGACCAGACTCCGTTCACAGAAAACTTCGAGATTATTTCGCCGTTGATTCTTCAAGTAAGGAGAGTGAGACACGCATTGGTTTCGTTGAAAATGGATATAACACCATGGACTGAGGCTGAGTGTCCCGGCTGAATATTTCCTCTGCAAGGAGTCGTTGTGAGGGAGGCACTTCGAAATACCAATAGATTTCTCCGCAGTAAGAAATTAGAGGCAATGCGGGATAGTTGGGAAGCCCACGGCGAGAGCATTCCCTGGCGTCTTAGAGCAGAAACCTGTTTTCAGCTTAAGGTTCGGGGGACGAACATACAAGTAGGCTTGAATCCGTCATCAGGGAGTTGCATCTGGTAGAGGGCAAAGGGTGAAGTCGACCTCTACCGGTGTCGTCTCAACTGACTCATGTTAGCAGATGTCATCGCTTCCACATCGGGAAACTCCGAGGCGAATTGTAGGATGGGCGGAATGAAGAGGCACACGTAGAGAAGAATGCTTCGAGCGGCGCAAGAGTACGAGGTGGAGTGGAAGGGATCATTCAAACAACATCCCGTGTTGATCAGCTTGCTCGTACTCGCCTGCTGTGTCGTGGCATTCATGGCGTCTCTTGACAACAGAGGCGAGACCGGGTCGAGACCGGGTCAAGACCGTATTGACTTGGCCCAAAGAATGGCCAAACACCGACGATGGCTGGCTTGGAAAGTGCCAGCAGCCCAAGACGGTCGTGGATCGTCGTGAAGACGTCGAGATCTCGATCGTGTGTGGTTTTCATCTTGTTGATGGTGGTAGTAACAGAGGGCGACAATAGGCGTTTCTCCGGATTCCTCGTATACCCAATAGAAGCTTCATTCCTTCAGTCTCATGACCTGTCCAGTTCGAGTGTTGGCATTACCCCATGTATTCAGCAAAGCTTCAGACCACGACTTACCCTTGACCACAAGGACTGCCTGAACAAATCAAATCACCGTCGAGAGGTGCTGTCAACTGTCAACAGCATTCTCCACGGAGATTCAGACCGTGGAGCCTTACGATTCAGGCTCCTCCAAACTCCAAACCTCCAAATCTCCACGGACTATCGCGAACGTCGTTCAACCCATCTCCGAATCCACGCTGTAAGCTTGCAAGCAGTCTTTGTCTAACGAGCTCGGGCCGAGGTGTCTAGACCAGGTAAGGGAGTATAAACCCCGCTTGAATACGGTCTCGTCCCCATAATAGAAAGAGGAGCCGTAGCAGCACGCTGTTTGTGTTGGTCCAGGGATCGTCAATACAGAGGAGCACTTTCAGGATCTATAAAGGTTGAAAAGGTTGTCAGTCTTAGTGGTTGTGAACCATCACCTCCCCCCAAAGTGAGATTTACGATACCGCGTACTCCTGCCAAAATGATTACTCGTGAGCGCGAAGCTACTCTCACCTTCACTCCTCTCGCCCGGACCTTCGGTGCAGAAGTCCACGGTGTTGACTTCTCGAAGCCCATTTCGAAGGAGACCGCAGCCGAGATACGAGACGCGTGCAACAAATATGGTGTCCTCGTGTTCCGCGGCACAGACATCGACAATGAGCGGCAAATTGCATTCACCGCCCACTTTGGCGAGATGTATGATGTGAAAGCACACATGCACGCCGGACGAAAGATGCGTTTTCCGACCCAGCCTGAGATCTTCGACGTCTCGAACCTCGACGAAAATGGTAACGTGCTCACCGAGCTCGAGCCGGCACGCGTCGGAGCGAATAAGGGCAACTGCCTTTGGCACGCAGACATGGCCTATAACCCACGCCGCGCACACTATTCCATCCTCCGGGCGGTCGAGCTTCCCCCAAAAGGCACCGGAGGAGAGACGCAGTATCTCGATTCCCGCACCGCGTACGACGATCTTTCCGAGGAGATGAAACAACGTATCGAACCTCTCGTCTGCAACAACTCGCTCTACCACAACCGAAAGCTCGCAGCCCCAGACACATTTGCGGATTTCGAGCCCCTGGAGTTTCCCATGGCACGACATAAGCTGGCCCAGCTGCACGAAGAATCGGGGCGCATGAACCTGTACGTCACAACATACGTGCATCATTTCGATGGGGAAACCATCGAGCAGAGCAGACCGCTGGTGAACGAGTTGCTGGACCACGTCTCGCAGGATAAATACTTGCTGACTATTGAGTGGGAAAACAACGGTGACATGGTGATGTGGGACAACACGGCGGTGTTGCACCGGGCCACTCCAGGAGGAGCGTACACCACCAAGTATAAGCGAGATGTGCGTCGAACATCGACCAAAGACAGCAGCTCTTATGGATGGGGGGTCGATCGCACTGCCACCTGGGAAGCTGGACTCCGAACCACCAAAGAATGAATGTGTGAGAACAGAGAAGACAAGCTGTGTAGTTTCTAGGGCTATGGTGTAATGTATGATTTGAATTTCCGTATAAATTGGATCTTTCAGTCGTTCTCGTATGTGGCCAACAGGAGATTGATTCAGTCTTGTTTGTCTGGTGAAGTTGAATATGAGACTATATCGAATTACGTAAGCCACTGATTGATTGTGAGACCGCGATCCGAGTCGCGCCACAACGCGAACGGTGCCCCGACGTCACCGTCGTACCTTTTTCCCAAATAGACAGAAAAACCCTCCCACAATGGATGGTTCTTCATCACTTAATCCTAGCGACCGAGATCAATGACAAACAACGATCAATATGTCCTGGTGACTGGCGCAAACAGGTAAGCGAGGCCCCCCATTGACACCGCGCTGTCCAATCGATTCGAGTCTGACTTTGGGACTGCGCCCTACGCTGAAGCGGCCTGGGTCTGGGTACCTGTTGTCGTCTCGTCGATGAGTATCTTGCTTCTCACACCTCTGATAATGGCACCCTGACCATCATATTCACCACTCGAAGTGCTCAAAAGGGCGCCGAGACTCTGTCGACCCTCGAGAAACACCTAGCCAGTCAAAGCGACACCTCCACCTCCGATCGCAAGATCTATTTCCAATCCGAGAATGTCGAGCTGACGAGCCTCCTCTCCGTTCGTGGCCTGAGCCGCAAACTCCTCGCCTCAGACCTTCCGCATATCAATGCAATAGTTCTCAATGCTGGCATAGGAGGATGGTCAGGCCTTAACTGGCCGCTGACGCTGTGGACAGTCTTGACGGGCATCAGACAAGCTACAACATGGCCGACGTTCAAACTGGGTCTTGTCGGGCTGGTGACAAAACCACAATTCCCCAAGGGGACTGTTGTCGGTGACGAACCGATCCTTGGAGAGGTCTTCTGCGCAAATGTTTTCGGACATTACATGCTGGTACACTGGCTCATGCCCTTATTCCGCGCATGCGCACCCGAGTCCCGCGGCAAGATTATCTGGTCAACTTCCATCGAAGCGGTAGCATCTCACTATAACCCCGACGACCACCAAGCCCTGAAATCCGCCGCGGCATACGAACACACCAAGCGGATGGGAGACTTGCTGGCGCTGAGCGCGGTTAACCAGCCAGCAACAGCCAAACAAGTCAAAGAATACACGACACCTTCCTTGGAGCCTGCACGAGAGCGGCCAGATCACTCCGAGCCGACCTTCCACGTGTCACACCCCGGCATCTGCACCACCACCATCATCAGCCTATACTGGATCATCCACGAATGCTACCGCCTAGGCATCTACCTGGCCCGCTGGTGCGGCTCGCCCTGGGCCAACGTGACCAGTAACCTCGGTGCCGCGTCGGCAACGTGGCTCGCGCTCGCGTCCCTAGCAGACATTAGAGACAGAGCCATCCAAGCCACCGGCGACGAAGACGGCGGGCCATGTAAATGGGGGTCATCCACCGACCGTCTAGGCCATTCTTCCGTTCGAGTCACCGATGTTCCAGGCTGGGGCATCAACGGCAGCGGCAAGCCCTTCAAGGATAAATGGTGGGGTGGAAGTCTGGGAAGGAAAACAGGATACACAGACGCGACCAAGGAAGATGTTGAAAATTTCGTCGCCAAGGGGGCAGAAGTGTGGAACAAGATGGAAGCCATGCGGAAAGACTGGGAGGCCAGGATTGAAGAGTACGAAGCCGCCGATCAGGGGACAAAGAGTAATGGACATGTACCAAGATGAGGAAAATTGTTCCCTTTGACAGGATGTAATAATAAACCAATGGTCACATCCAATACCCATACAAACAAACCTCTTGAGCTTGTTCTCTCTTCCTCTCTGTAAATCAACTCCACATCCCTGTTCTACTCTGCACTGCATTGCGCTGCGCTGTATGGTCTTATACCGAATCATATACCTACCTAGGTATGCAATGTGCCCGTCCCATCCCATCCCATCCCACCCAACCTCACGACTTCCCGGCATCTTCTCTCTCCTCCTCGTCCTCATCCTCATCCTCGTCCATCCACCCGCGACACATCTCGACGGCCTTGCTCCACTTCCTGTAGAGCCTGTCGCTGGCGCGCTTGGAGATGCCGGGCTCGAAAAACTGCCGGCCCTCGGCGTTGATCTCCTTGAGCTCGTCAAACGACGACCACACCTTGACGGCGAAGCCGGCGGCGATGGCGGCGCCGAGGGCCGTCGTCTCGCGCATCTGCGGGCGGTCCACGGGGATTTGGATGATGTCGGATTGTGTCTGTTGCGCGCGGTCAGAAAAGTGGGAAGACAGAAGACAGAGAACGGGAAAGAGGAAATAGGATAGAGAAAAACAGGGTAGAAAAAAAAGGGGGCGTGCTGGGAACGCAAGAGCGGAAAAGGTCACGGACTTTGTAAAAACAGTTTTGTGTAGAAAAGAACACGTTGATAAAGAAGAAGAAAGAAAAAAGAGAGGGGAAAGGGGTCTGGTGATGGAGGGCTCTCACCTGCATGCACAAATCACTGTTACTCATGCCGCCGTCCACAGCTAACTCCTTTAGGTGAACGCCCGCGTCCTTCTCCATGGCATCCAGGATCGCCTTGGTCTGGAAACACGTCGCTTCCAGCGTGGCTCGGGCGATGTGGCCCTTCTCCGTGTACCCCGTCAGGCCAAATATAGTGCCCTTGACGTCGTCGTACCAGTACGGCGCGAAGAGGCCCGAGAAGGCCGTGACGAAGACGCACCCGCCGTTGTCCTTGACCGTGCCCGCCAGCTCGGAGATCTGGGACGACTCGCTGCCAAATCCTAATTTGTTGACGAGGAATTTGACCGAAGAGCCGGCCACCGCGATGGATCCCTCGAGCGCGTATGCGGGTTTGATGCCCTGAGGCGAGAAGTCGTATGCAACCGTGGCGAGGAGGCCGTGTGTGGAGATGACGGGCTTTTCGCCCACATTATACAAAAGAAAACAGCCGGTGCCATACGTGTTCTTTGCCCGGCCGGGGGAAAAGCCACATTGTCCCACCAGTGCCGCAGATTGATCGCCCAAGCAGCCTGTGATCTTGACCCCCTTGAGCTTGGTGGATGCGAGCGTGCCGTATGCCTCTGGATCTGACGAGGGTACGATCTTCGGCAAGTGCAGCTTCGGGGTCTTGACGTCGAGGTCGAAGAAGGAAATCAGTTTGTCGTCGTAAGAGAGCTTGTGGATGTTCATCCACATGGTTCTGCTGGCGTTCGTGGCATCTGTCACATACACGTTCTTTTCCGCACCGCCGTTCAATTTGTACACGAGCCATGTGTCCACCGTTCCAAAAGCCAGTCGTCCCTCTTCGTACGCCTTCTTCACCTTGTCAACGTGGTTTAGCATCCAGAGCAGTTTCGTGGAGCTGGGGTATGTTGACAATGGCAAGCCACACAGATCCATGAGCTCGTCTGCTCCCTTCTTCTGTTTGAGTTCGCGCACAATGTGTGCGCTCCGAGTATCTGTCCATACGATCGCGTTGTGGAGTGGCTCTCCCGTTTTGACATCCCACACGACAGTCGTCTCACGTTGATTTGTGATTCCAATAGCTTTTATGTCGGAGAGAGAGTAGCCCTGAGAGGTGAAGGAGGCACACGCTTCATCGATGCAAGTGCAGACCGAGGAGACAAGCTCCTCAGGATCGTGTTCATGCCAGCTGGACAGAAGTAAGAGAGACGAATATGATAGGAAAGCACCAAAGCCACCTCGTGTTGTTATCACACGCAGGTCTCGTTCACGCGCCAGAGAACTCACCCAGAGTGCGGATAATACTGCTCGAATTCGATTTGGTGCTCGGCCACAGGGTTACCAGCAGGGTCGAAGATGAGAAACCGTGTGCTAGTTGTACCATTGTCGATGGCTCCGACGAAGGTCTTATTTGATTTATCAACCTATACCAGTGCTGGTTAGTGGGTAACATGAATGTAGCAGGGACCTTGAAGAGTGAGAGTACCATGTTGGACAGAGGAGGCAAGCTTGGAGAACCGAGATGAGTCAACTGTTGCCTGAGACGTGATAGCATGGGAAACAAATAGCTCACACAGGAGTTAGGATGCCATGGAACCAGCAACAGGGCAAGCAAAGAGCAACAATGAACGGCGTGATCAAATAGTTTGTTGCGTCAAGCTGGAACATAACTCTGAGTGCGGAAATGCGGGGATGCATGTGTCTGCGGGAGCTATGATGCAACGCCGAGACGACGATCGAGAACAGCATGTGGCAAGGCTGCTCCTAAGCACACGATCATAAGTAGCACCAATGAGGAATTTGGGATTACCGACAAGAGGGCCCGCAAAGTCCATACTGTGACCTGTTGTGCTAATCGCCATGTCCCTGGTTGGTATCTGCGTACCAGAACATTTCGATAGATCAATTATGGCGAACTGTGCACAGACGAAAACACACCAGAAAATCTCATTCCGGTTCAAAAGACAAATGAAATGTTTGGATTTGCCTGCCTTGGCCTTGATATGTACAATGACTGCTCCCTGCAAACAATCAGCGGGTTTTTGCAACGATTCTCCATTTTCAACGCACGGCTTTCTTGGATTCCTCTATTCCTCGTCCTCCTCACCACCTTCTTCCTCCTCTTCTTCATCGCTACCCACTGGTTCGGGTCCAATTTCTTCCAGCTGTCTGGCCCTGAGTTCCCTCATTCTGTCGGCAGGTCCCGGAGGTCGGGTGACCAAATCAGCGATTTGGCCACGGCCGATCAACGAAGCCACGATACTGGCACCGACAATGAAAGTGAGAACAAATCGGTAGACTCCGTACCACTGAGGAGCCCAGCCTCGAGCAGAAGCTCTGGCATCATTGTAGTACAAAAAGGTAAATGCCATGAACTGGGCAATCAAGCCAACCTCTGCAGGGAGGAGAAGTGTTGGCCATGCTACAGCAGTGGCAACGATACCCATGGAGTATCTCGGATATCCTTTGTAACCACCGTAGCCGGCCCATTCAAGACCCCAGTGGATGGCACCAAGGAAAGAGATGATCTGAAGCTACTGGTCAGTGATGGAAAATTTTGCGTTTGTCTGGGTCAACTGACCGAGGCACCATAACCGAGCTGGATTGGCTCAATGATGTGCAGCAATGTCTCGGCTGTCTCGCCAGACATGAAAAATCCCTGGCCGTGGGTGGCCGCATATTGAATATCGAACGAGAGGTATACGGTGGTCAGAGACGTAGCCAGGTATGGGATGACACCTGCCAGACCGACATAAAGAGCTTCACGAGGCACTGCGGACAAGCTAAATGTCTCTTTGATCGTGTTCTGTGTGTCCCAGGATTAGCAAAAGCGAACTGTGACATCCCACGCGTGCCGGAAACCCACAAAGTCACTTCGAATACCGCCCATCATATCCACATCCTCCTCGTCGGCAGTCTTGCTCTGCACTTCCCCAGTGACTTGTCGAGTCGTCGAGTCAGCAGAGACTGCTTGTGGGACTGGTTGCAAAATCTTTTCATGCAGTGCCTTTTCTGCCTTTGCCGTGTCATAAGCGTGGGCGTTGTGGGCGTAGCGTACCAAGGCCCTCGGAACTGGCTGGAACGCGGCGACGGCGACGATACGAGAGGTCCGTACAGGACGAGCAGAGGTCCGCAGCGAGGCTTTCAAGGCATTGTTGAGGACGCTTGTTCGCGGGGTTGTAGCTTGGAACGAGGTGTAGGAGCGCGGGATCGAACGGACAGCGCTAGTGCGCAGCATGGTCGTCGACATGATGGGCAATGGCAGGTCTGTAAAGTCGAAAAGGTTTACAGGCCGACCAGAGCCAGCTGGACTGGAGCTGCAGAGCGAAGTTGGAAGGAGTGGAGATGGTCGAAAGGTGCTCGATTGAAGAAAGGATTGAAGTTCGAAAGAGCTCGGATTGAGCTCACACTCTGGTGCTCGATATGGAAAAGCTTATTTGTTATGACCGTGTAAACAGATCACCTGTTCCACTTTGTGGGCGCTGATACCAGGTAATATTGGTTTCAAATGACAGCTTGGCTCAGGCCATCGTCATTGGCCGTGCCAAGCTTCCGCAGAGCTCCTGCGCCGAACCTCACTTGTCTTCTTCACTTTTGAACATACTGCCAGCGACAACATCCTCTCCACTCATTCATCGTGCAAGATGTCCTTCCAGCGTATTGGCCTGCGCCTTGCGCAGCAGCAGCTACGATCGCCTTCTTTTCGACCCCTCTTCCGATCCACCTTCCAGCGACGTCTCGCGAGCAGTGGTGTCCCAAGCCCACCAGGCCAAGGAACAAGCAAACTCGTTGGAACCGCCGACAATGCCTTCAATCGTGAACGAGCTGCCGTGAAAGCCCATGCTGCTGCTACAAGTGGTATGTCTTCTGACCACACCTTCAAATCTGGAAGAAGACTAACGTGATCCAGACCTCTGGCGTAGACTCTCGATCTAGTATGAAGTCCCCTTCTTCACCACGCAGCAAGAAACTTGGTTTCTAATCATCCTTACAGCGTCGTCATCCCATGCCTAATCCTGGCAAGCATTAACGCCTATAACCTGTGGAACGAGCATTGGGAGCATTGGAGTCACATGCCCCCTCTAGAAGAGCGCGTTGAATACCCCTACCAAAACCTTCGAACTAGAAACTTCTGGTGGGGAGATGGTGACAAGACTCTCTTCTGGAACGAGAAGGTCAACTATCACAGGAAGGACAAGCAGACCTAAAAGATATGAAAACCAAAGTGCGCTGGGCTGGCTTCAAAAGGCTCGTCTGAGCGAGGTGGACCTGATTTGTACATAAGGCATGCAGAGGAAGTGAAGTGGTGACCTGACTGAGGCATAACAAGACCATAACCCATTCATACAGTTCAATACTTGAGGATTTCAGTGTTGACCCGGCACTTGACGGGCAAGCTTCAGACGTTCTGAGCCTCGAACTCCTTCTTAAGCCCCAGGTACTGTGTCGCAGTGTCGTTCGCTAACACCCAGTCTCCTCTCCAGTGCATAATGGTTGCCTTTTTCTTTAGCATCTCCAGCTGGCCCTGCAGATCTTCTATGTACCTATATTGCGCATAGGCATGGTCGATATGCTCCATTGCTTTGTTTATGAACTCTTTTTGCTTTGTCGAAGATGACTTGTCTGGTCCTGACGATGAGCCAGCAAGACCCATGTTTGCGTCTGCGAGCACGGAGTATGACTCGGCGGCGAGTTCGCAATCATGGCATTCCAGCACTTGAGGCATTATTGACTGGAGAAGATCGGCAGCAGGGAGAAACTCGCGGAGGTGGTTGAGAATTGAGGCAAGGAGACAGATCGATGCCCATAACGAGTGTAGGATTCTTCCCCTAAACGCAATCTGTGCTGCGCGCATGACGATCGAGAAGGCCTTGAGCGGATGTCGGCTCTCAATCAAGATTCGTGCTTTGAGGAGCAATAGCCGGTTCTGCACGGCGATGTCATTAATTTCATGGTTCCTATCCGCACCTTGTGCCAAATCTTCGACCCTTTCAAGAGCCTGGTCGAGAACCCCCCGGCGGATAAGCAGCTCGATCTCGAGCAAGGACAGTAAAAGTGCAACCTTTACATCTGGTGCCCCTTGTCCGCTCAGTCGATCGAGCAAATGCTCTGCAGCATCGAGATTGTCCCGAAGTATCAGCCTTCGAGCCCTAAACAAACCAGAACAGAAGTTTAGAGCATTCTGAAACTTCATCCGCCGATGCACATGCGATGGAATATTGTTAAGCACTTGTTCAGCTTCGGCGTATCTGCCGCGTTGAACCAAGAGCCCGGCGATGCGGCAATAGTGCTTGAATAGATCTTCGAGTGGAGCGTCCTCGGAATGGCACTGCAAGAACGCTTGTCCACACCACCAGCTAAGATGGCCAAGGCCAATCCTGCTAAAGGCAGCACCTTTGATGAGCAACATTGGCCCGACGGTGCTATGCGTTGATCGCACCACATTGAGGTAGGATGCTTTTGCAATGTTTTCAAACACGCTTGCAAGGCTGTCTCCGTACTGCATCCCAAGTTTTGCTTCACTCAAGAGTGTCGTCCCCAAGAGACTCCACATCTCCGATTCCTTGGCCCGTGCTTTCAGGAATGCAAGTCCCTCGACCTCGCTACCGAGAATGCCGCTGTCGCGTATGGCATCCGCCTCCTCGGGAAAAGAGCGTCCGAAGTGATACACCCAGCTCATGCAGAAGTTAAGGCACGTGTTGTCTTTGTTTTCGCGTGCGGTGGCAATAGCTTCCTGCATCGCAGAAAGTGCCTCTTCGTGGCATCCAAAGTCTGCTTGAAGAATGGCGAGGTTGAGCAATGCATACTGATATATTGCTCTCTCGCGTGTCTGCATTGCATAATCAAAGTATCTGTGCAGATTGTCGAAGGCTGAGTAGTAATCACCAGCTCGCCACGAGTCAAGAAAGCTGAGATAATTCCCCAGCTTTGGTATGACGGTACCAGCTTTGGCCATTTGTTGAAGCTTCAGTTTCATTCCGTCAGGTAATCTCCCACCAAGACGCTGGATCTCGGAGACCTGAAATTCCATCAGTTTCTCGACATCGTACATACTAAATGCTCCGTGATACTTTTGATCGTCCTCGGCTAGTCTTCCATACATCAGCATGGCTAGAGGATGTGACGAATCAAGGTCCAAATCCGCAAGGTTCGAGTCAAGAGCGTTTCTGCCCCCTCCGTGGTTCTTCTTCTCATATGCCTCGCGAGTCGGCAGTCTGTAAGCAATGAAATCCTGCCAAAGAGTGATGCTGTCTTGAAACTGTAGCCTCGTGTATTCCAAATGACAGCGTCGAATGAAAGCACCTAGCGGGGATGTTCTGAGAATGGGTGAGTGGACTTGATCGGATCCATCCCCGCTTTCGCGGTCCCTCTGAAACTGTTCTCTTGATCTCGTCAAGAGCGAAGGCAGATATGTGATGAAGGCGTCGAGCGCATGGGAGCAATCAATCTCCCATAGTCTCTTCAGGAGGAGATCAAATAGAGTTCGTCCAGGTCGTGCAGACGGGCGTGAGGATAAGGTGGATTCGAATTCAGCTATTGGGAGCGCATGCTCGAACTCTGTGCTTTCCCGGAATAATGGAGAATGCTTGCTTGATGGTATAATCTGAGAAAGGATAAAAGATAACACGGCCGTAGCTTCTTTGGTGGGGACTACATCCTCAGTGTAGAGCAGAGTGAGCACCAGCAGGGTGATTTTTGCTGGAGTCAGATACCGACTCATGTTGCGGCTGGCGTCAGTTCAAGTCAATCCCGCATATACAAGTAGCATTCTGGTTGCGTCAGTCAGGTGCATCACTCTGCTCGAGCACCATTCCTGCTCGTGAGAGAAGTTGTTTCTTTAGCAATAATACATATGGAATCTGAATAAACAAGGAAAGGTCGCGTCAGTCGGGCGCATCGTGTCGTTGAGGCGCCACTGCAATCGTTCATTGGTTCAACTTCGGCAAAATACTTTGCTGTGTTTGGCACGTTTGCTTCATTTGCCCCGCAGTTTTTCTTCCAATATTGTTTCTGTCACCAGAACGACCAGCGCAGGGAAGATATTTCGCAGAGACCCTGATAGAAGTCGTCAAGATGGCTTTTGTCAAGTCAGATCTAGAGGGGTTTCTGCCTCTGTTAGCCTCAGGTAAAGTCCGAGAGCTGTACGATGTCGACTCAAAATCCCTGCTCTTTGTGACTACCGACAGGATCTCGGCTTTTGATGTTATCATGAAGAATGTATGGTCTCCCTGGCCCTTCTCGTGCTGCCATCTCGTTGACGAGACTCATAATTTAGGGTGTGCCAGAGAAGGGACTCGTCCTAACGCTGATGACTGTGCACTGGTTCCAATATCTCCAAAAACAGATCCCTGACCTCAAGACCCATTTCATTTCTCTCGACCTGCCTCCTACGGTCCCGAATGACGTTGCTTCCCAGCTCAAGGGCCGAAGTATGCTTGTGCGCAAGCTCAAGGTGTTCCCGCTGGAGGCCATAGTCCGTGGGTACATCACAGGATCCGCCTGGTCTTCCTACAAGAAAACCGGTGAGGTAAATGGGAAGAAAATGCCCGAAGGCCTACAAGAATCGCAAGAGTTCCCCGAACCTATATACACCCCCAGCACCAAGGCTGAGCTGGGTAAGCATGACGAGAATATCTCCACGGAGCAAGCCACGCAAATTGTGGGCGAGAAGTATGCGAAAAGAATAGAAGAACTGTCGCTCCGCATCTACAAGGCAGCACGAGACTATGCAAGAGAAAAGGGCATCATCATAGCAGACACGAAGTTTGAATTTGGTCTCGACGAGGAAACGGACGAGGTCGTGCTTGTAGATGAGGTGCTCACCCCAGACAGCTCGAGATTCTGGTCGAAATCCAGCTACAAGCTCGGCCAGAGCCAGGAGAGTTTTGACAAGCAACCGCTGCGAGATTGGTTGACAGATAATGGACTCAAAAACAAACAGGGCGTGGAAATGACTGATGATGTGGTTGAAGCAACTCATGCAAGATACCTCGAGGCGTTCAAAATCTTGACGGGAAAATCTCTAGAAGAGACTCTACACGACCTAAAATGAAGATGACATGCTGTATACCATGAATGTCCAATGCATACACGAATCTTTGTTTTCATACATGTTCTCTACCGCATTTGCCCAGGTGCACTGAGTTGGCTTACCTGAACGCCTTTGTATCTCCCGAGCCAACTTTCCCAAAGTGCGGTACTCGTTCACGAAAGCTTTTCCTTTGTTCTGGCAGGTTCCTTTTCTCTTCAGCCTTTTGCGCCAGCTTCTCCAGTGTTACTTCGCTTAATCTTGCGCTTCCTTGGTCTCCCTCTTCCCATCCCGTCCGCCCATCAACTTGACCTCTCTCGTTGAGATTTGTCGCCCACATTGCAGCGATCCCGAGTTCAAACGGGCCTGGTTGTCTGTCAATCAAGCCAATGCCAAAGCTCTTGACCTTTTGTCGCAACATTTCTGACTGCGGCTCCGTGACGATCCCGTGGTTCGTGCGCACAAACTCGTGCAGTTTGATCCAAACAGTCTCCCATTGACCAGGATCATTAGGTCCTTCTGCGCCCTTGTGATATTTGGTGTACAAACGATGCTGATGTATATCTGACTCTACGATCGAGTCCGTTTGTATGTTGACAAAGTATTTTCTGCCGTCGCTCTTCACTCGCAGCGCGAGGTACATGTAAGAATCAACGTTCCAGAGCAACTCTCCAAATAGAGTTCGCCCTCGGTCCTCATTTCTCCATGCCGCATAGCCTGTCCTGTGAATGTCTGGTCGATCTGTGGGGAGCTTCGTGGAGATGTTTCCGTGGAAAAGGATGTGCGCAGGAGTAGGATGTTCGGTAGATATATCGCGAGGCTTCTGGGTGAGTTGTGCTGTCGAGAACCCGCCTACTGACTGGTCGGTCATTGTCTTTAGCGTAGTAATGGTCTCGGGGTCTGCAAAGTCGAAGATAGGATATGGGGCGAGAGGTAAATGCAGCCCTTCGAGATTGAGAGCTGCCCGTCGGGAGAAATTAGCCTGCTTGTTCGATAATGCTGCTTCTATGCTCGTGAAGGGCACCTATCACTTCTACTCATTGTATTCCAGGGTTCAAGAAAGGAAGTCCAGGCGTTGGATGGCTCCTCTGGGGCTCACGTACCAAATTTCGTTGCTCTTCCGAGTTCCTGGCTTGTTTTCTTCCAGAAGCCAGGCGCACAGCGCCTAACTGTAGGAACAAACATCATTATCCTCTTCCGCAACGTGTGCCTTTATCTCGGAGATGACGAGCCCATCGCAATGATCCCAATGGTCCTTCGTAGCGTGAAACTCGCAACTGCTTGCTCAACGTCATGGGTATTCACGTGCTTGTGCTTTTCCCTCTCGTTCTCGTCCGCCAATAGTCCGCTGCCGCCCTCGGGATCGGCCGGTAGAACTCCGGCACTAGCTGTAGTCAATCTGGACCTCCTTCTCTAGCCAAGCGGTCGACATTTCCTAATAGCGCTTAGCGTGTATCACCACGAGGCTGAGGTCTTGTCGTGAATCTTCTGCCGCTCTTTTCATTGTTGTTTTCTTCTCTTCGCACATTCTCCTTCTCCATCTTCATCATCACCTTCATCCAAGACACTGACAAGTTGCGACCAATATATCGACTGCTCAGCATCGCGTGTGTGGCCTTGGTGCCCTGTCGCTGTCCCGTCACGCCTTTCCTGGTGAATAGGTAGATGACGGGAGCGCAAGAAGAGACTTCAGGTGCACCACTAGAGTGAGATGTGACTCCAGCCTGCTTTGGTCATTGTCCATCCATAACATTGTGAGCAAGCCATCACTCACCTCAAGTGGCACAGACTGCTGACATACACAGACACAGATCGTTCCCAAAATGCGTCTTGGGTGCTTGTTTGGGTGACACTTGCGCGTGATGTGCTGGTGACCTCTAGCTTTCGTCCAAAGTGCTAAGACATATGGCCTTTGAGGAGTCGCATGCATCCGGTGTTGGTGGGTTATCATTGACAAAGATGTCGCCGGGTGTCAAGAACAAACTGGCTCCAAATAGAGGGAGTCAGATGGAGTTCAAGAAAGGACATCAAGTTGAGGTCTCGAGCAGCATGATGCCGAGGGCTCGGCCGCTTCCAACCAAACATCCTCCAGTTGAGCAGGCATGAGATGAGGCATCCATCATGAACAGCATGTGGCACTTATGTGCAGATACAAGCGTTCGCCTGGAGAGCACAAGCGGTCCAGAAGCAAGGAGATGGAGAGGCCAAAAACAGGCCGTCCCCATGAGCTTCAGGAAACGGATCTAAGAATCGGAGTGACCTGAATGCCAAGCCCTCATTCATGATACCCCTCGCGATCTCAACACACTTCACTTTGAATTGTTGCCTCTTTATATTCCCACTTTTATCTTTTCGTTTACAGCATTTTCGAATGCTAAACGCCCTTCTCCCCTCTCTATTACAGTCAGAGAGAACCGTTTGCAGGGTGAGCACTGCTTCCTCAGCCTATAAACTTGACCTGGAACCCTACTTATATCAATCGCTGTGAAACAGATAAGCCTGCAGCAATGGCGTCTCGCCTTGCCTCCTCTTCATCCTCTCCTCCTCGCCGAATCATCCTCCCTACTCTCCCCGTCATCTTCCCTCGCTCCTCATCCTCCACACCAAATCCCGAGATCAAGATGATCTCAGAGGACGCAGCAAACACCGAGCTCGACGGCGGGCAGAACCGCGTCGAAGACACTCCTGCCGCTCAAGGTTCGTCCTCCTCTGACCCTTCACCTCCAGGTCACACTGGCAAACAGGACAACCTGCACCTTTTCACTCCTGAATTTGATGAAACTTGACAGTCTTCTGATGATTTTCCAGGCTCAATCTCTCTACCAGCATCTTTGAAAGATGCAAACTCCCACGGCGCGGTTGACGAAGCCCAGCAACCAACCCAGGCACCGATCGAGCCAAGTGCCGAAGACGATGTGTTTGGTGCTCCCAGCCCTGTTACAAACAGCAGCGTCCCTGTCAACACTGTCGCTCATCGAATCATCAACAATCTGCGTGCTCCTGCTGGGTACAACGGTTTCGTGCCGCGACCAGATCGTGTGAATCAGGTTCCGACCGCCGCAAATGCGCAAGGTCTCTACCCACCAACCGCACTCATCTTCGTGGCAAAGTAAGTTCACAAAATTCTACCCAAGACAAACGCGTACTGATTCATTTTAGTCTTTCCAAGTATCGATCTGAGGACCAACTTGAGATTGCCTGCCATCAGACCTTTGACACGTACGGCCCGAATCACATCAAGATCCGCCGTGACAGAAACCAGCACCCGTTTGCGTTCATCCAGTTCCAGGTAAGCGCAGAAGAAGACCACCTGAAACAAAATCATCTTGTTAATAACTGTGACAGAGAGATGAAGATGCCACTGCGGCTGTTGCCGGAGCATATGGACTCATCATAGATGGCAGAAAGATTCGTATCGAACAAGCCAAGGCAGAGCGTGAGTTCGCAAGCGCACATACTCGGATTCATCAAAAGCTGACGATGACCCAGGCTCTGTGATTCTCAGCAAGACTGATGGCACCATGGTCAGTGAGGCAGAAACTCGTGGGATCCTCGAACGCTACGGACCTCTAGAGCTCGTCGCCCCGACCAACATGGCAAACCGACGCCACGGTGGCTCAGGATATGGCATGTATGTCAAGTTTGCGTACTACCTCGACTGTCGTGATGCTCTCAAGGTATGTGCTCGAGCCGCGGTGGTTGGTGACCAGCCTTCTGACCCAGCAGCAGCTCTTCCAAAACCACACCTCTGGTCTCCAACTGTACATGGCTCCTTCTCTTGAACCACGCTTCCGCATCGGCCCAGACGGCGCCGCCGTGGTTGGTGGCTTCTCCAATCCTCGGTCAATCATTGACCAGAAGTCCATCTACGTTGGAAACCTGCCAGAGGGGACAACCCGGGCTCACCTTGAGGAGCTCTTTGGCGAGTTTGGTGCCATTGTCCAAATCAACGTCATCAAGAAGACTTATGGTGAGTTCCATCATTGTCAAACATGTCGCCTCCCGTGTCCATCTAACGCACAAAACAGAGAACGATGCGGTGAACATCTTTGCATTCATCGAATTTGCCACTGCCCATGAGGCCGACCGCGCTGCCAGTTCTGAAGTAAGTCAATCCCGTCACTGCAAACAATTCACCACACAAACTAACCGTCACTCTCACAGCGTTACCTGCATGGCCTCAAGCTCCGTGTGGAACAAAAGGAGTACTCTGCACGTCGCCCATCTGGTCGTCTCATGGCTCCAAACACACGAATTCAGCAGCAGAATACCGGTCCCAGACACAGATACGGTAACCCCAACCGCAGCTATCCTTTCCAGCAAAATAACTTGAACTACAATGTTGGTGGCACTCCAGAATTCTACAACCGCGCCCATGGTCAAGCCGGCGGTGCTCACTGCATGCCAGCCCACCAGATCACTCCACCCTCAACCGTCCAGTACAACCATCAGGGAATCCCCCAACCCATGTATGGAACTCCGCAGCAGCAAACATCTGCGTACGGTTTTGGCACCATGACTCCTCCAAGCCACTCTAACATTACCTACGGCAACATGAGCCACATGCTCCCAGCTGGTATCTTCTCCCCAACTCCAACTCACATTGATCAGAATCAACACCACAATGGCTTCATGGGTCCTGCCAATCCTCCTCCTCCACATCTCTACCAATCTCCCAGCGTCTACCTTGGACATTCCATCTCTACCATTCCAGAGACCTATGAAGAGGGACAGTACTAGCATTGAGGCCGGCGTTCGAGGCGTTTTGAGGCGAACCAAATCCACATGTGCAACAGAGCATGAAAAAGGAACATGGTACATGGTACACAGAACATGAAAATATGTCTCTCACATCACTCACAAATGACATTCACAATCACATCAACATCATCACCGTTCGACAAACAGACACATGGCTGAGAACATTGAAATGGGGCTTGAAAATGGGCTGGAAATAGGGCATGAAACAAGAGAGATCTCACACATGATGAGACACAAATGAGACAAGAAAGAGTTGAGCTGGAACAAGGAAATACAGAACTTGAAATTGAAAAAAAAAAAAAGGACAAAATGTGCTCAAAGGGTGACATGAAAACATGAGCTGGTATGGGTGAGGAAACATGGAGGAGCTTGAAGGGAATTTTCAGCGCTTGACATGCACAAAAGCATGTATTATGGACTCTCTACTCTTTAACAAAACAATGAGCTTACAGACCCTTTTTTTTTTGAAGCTTTGTCCTTCGTCTTGTCCATCCGTGACCGCAAATCGATGGACAACAGGCGGATACTGGTAATAAATTCTCCATATCCGTCTAGATTATCTCCTCGTCGCCGACCCGGGCTATTCCTCCCGCTTTACATCCATAGTGTACGGCCTGTTTTTTGGCCATCTGATATCTCATTTGATGGGCAACAAGCAGACAATTGGACATGCGTGTCGATGGCACCGCCAATATCACCGAGTCCGCGACCCGTCCCATCCGCCTGGCTCAGGCCCATCGTCTCCAGCCTGTTTTTCACCCTCGCCGATGCCTTGCACTGGACAACGACCCGATCGACAAACCGGACACCACCACGATGATCCCCCTGTCGGCGACCCGCCCCATATCCGCCACCTCAGATACCTCGTCCCCGGCCTGTTTTTCCCCCTTGGCCTATTTCGCTCACGAGCGAACGCTGGCGCGAACGCCCCTTCTCCGATCTGCGTACGACGCGGTCGTCCTCCCGCCTCATAGGAACGTTCACGCACGACAAACCCGACGGCCTGTTTTCCCGCCAATCTGATTGTTGGTAGCGTCCTCGCCGTCGTCGGGTGTAAATCCTATCCCGACAGGCCCTAGCGATGAAGCGCAGGATCTCCTCCTCCCACATATCCCTTCCAGGCCCGTTGAATCTCAGGGGACGGTTGTACTCAATGACAAAGCGGAATAGCGGGCAACGTGACTTCAACCAGAGGAACAAGGACGGAAACACTGAATACTGTGTGGATAGCATATCATTCTCATTGTGATTCATTCAGGAAAAGACTCGTTCATCACTCTTTGGAAACTCTCGACTCAAGCTTGAACCTCAGCCGGAGCATGAGGGGGTGTTTGCGGGGGATTGCCAGCCTGGTTTCCCTGCAAACTTTCCAACAGCTCGACCGACATGTCGTCCAGCTCATCCTCCTTAAGCCCAGTAGCAATCGCTACGAGTTTTCTGTGTTTGCCAACCTTCTCGCCTGCACCCGCCTCACTCATCAGTTTGGCAATATCTTTGACCCACTGTCGGCGAAGATTTTGTTGATTGTTGAGCTCAACTGCCCATGGCACCACCGCACGTATTTCATCAGGGGACAGTGCTGATGTATTGGGGAAACGGAACGCCTCGGGACTCGTCTGCTGGTCTTGCTGAAACACTTCATTCTGCAGGGCCGCATGCTCTTTTTGTTCAAGGAGAGACTCCACCTCGCGTAAACATTCGTCATATTCCTGTCTCAATGAGGGAATCTTGGATACATCCTCAACCTTGGCCATCAGTGAAAAGGTCTCTTGTCGAATCTTATGTCGCTGATTCTCGAGCTCGGTCAGTGCGTGTTTGGCTTCTGCAATTTCCGTGTCCCGCTCCGAGATCTGCAAATCGTACATGTCGGCTATTTTGTAGCTGCCCGCGTCCATCAGAGGGACGATCTTATCGAGCACCAAAGAGGCAGCGCGTGACAGAGCTTCTTTTTGTCGCTTACGGCGCGATTGTTTGGCCGCGAAAGACTCTCCAGCACGTGGGGGCGATGAGCCCGGCTGCTGAAGGCTTTCCTTCTTCTCTCGAAGAGCTCTGAGATACTCGTTGGCAGTCTCTCCCTTCAAATTTGGTATGTCTCCGGCTTCAGGGCAATGGTTGAGGAGGAATGTTGCGACTTTGACACATCCGTTGCGGATAGCGCAGAGTGCTGCAGTGTCGTGATTGTGGTCAATGGAGGTAAGGAGTGCTTGAACGTAGTTTGAGCCCATTTCGTGCATTTTGTTTATCAGGACTTCGCAATAGTACCGAGCACAACTCCATTTTCCCCTGGAGCGCGCTGACTCGGCGATGTGGTGGAAAACGGTCGCCCCATAAGCGTCCCGCTCCACAATCGTTCCGGCCAAAGCCTGCACGATCTTCGGGAAAGTCTTCTTGTCGTAATTGTTGGTGAACAAGACAGCTCTAATCAGAGGGGTTTCAAGTGAGCTCTTGTTTTGGGCAGCAGGATTTGCACCGCGTGCGAGGAGGTCTCGTGCAACCGCAACATCACCCATGGCGCAAGCCCAGTGCAGAGCGTTGTTACCCAGATTATCAATCGGCCTGTCAACATCGAAGTTTGTTGGGGGTTCTGGTGGTAGGATATTGGAGGCAGCCGGGTCATCACCAGCCGTAACAAAGTAATCCAATAGTTCATCGCCATACATGGTATGTTCGAGGTCTGATGCAGTAGGAGCGATTTCTTCAAAATCTCGTTTTCGCTTTCTCGAAGCAGTAGAATTTTGTGAAAGTGGAAGGAAGTCGTCTTCTGCCATGAATGAAGCAGTCTCTGGAGAGTGGTCTCGACTTTCCGTCCCATTGTAATGTACACTGGCGCTTTCGTAGCCGTCCACAGGTGGGTAATGTTGGGCTACGGAAAGTTGGCGAGCATTTTCGGACGGAGTGTGCCTATACTTACTTGGCTGCGACGGAACTTTGCGTGGAACGGCAGGCTGTTTCGGTTGCTTGGGACGGTTTGAGACAGCGGTGGTATGCTTGGGAGCAGGAGGCGGGCTTCGATCACCCGGGACGAAGTCGAAAATTTGGGCAGTGCGGTCAAGCACACCATGCTTCTCAGCTAGCGACCGACCTTCGGTCAGAGGGACCCATGTGCCTTGATATTTTCCATAACCGCCTTGAATTTTCTCGTGGACACCCTTCTGCACCTCACGTTCGAGGATCCTGGTCCGCGCTGGTTTGTCAAACCCAGCAATCTTCAGAATATGTGTAGCGTTGACCCAGTTGTCGGACCTGCGGCGCATAACATGGTCGCCGCCGACCTTGAGTTCATAGACGGGAACCTGCAGTCACATGTCAGTCTTGCCTGATGTGTCAAGGGAAAAGGCACAAATATTCCTACATTGCTGTACGTCGCTGAGTAGATTTCCCTGTCCGCCATTTTCGACCTGTTCGTAGCGGGATAGAAAAGGGGCAGCGATAGGAGAGGATGAAGGTTGACAGCTAGGTTGACATGGCCGGAGGGGATTTATCACGAAGCAGTGACTGTATCTGTCGTTCAACTGCCTGCGCCCGGAATGTCCCTCAGTACAAAAGGGGTCCACAGCAACATCTGCCCTGACAAGGACGCGACAAGGGGGAGCGAGAAATTCAAGAAAGACGCGTTTCGCGCGATATTGGCGGAGATGGCGGGGTGAATCAGGCAGCCAATCGCAGGCCAGGCGCCAAGATATGACGTCCCGCTTAGTCACTTCCCGATATGGAATTCTTCCCGAGGCTTTCTCCGATCTCTCTCCGCTGCCTTTGAAATCAAGACAATATCAGATGAGGCGAAACAATGCACTCACCCCTCGCGTCATCGGAACTGTAGTAAAACCTCTTAGGATATCAATACTGAATGGATTGACAGGCACGAGCGGGACGATCTTTCATACCTAATCGACGCTCTATTTCTCAACGTCATCTTGTCTTCGATGTGCTTCTGCTGCTGACAATTTCAAAGGTCGATCGAGTCAGATAAATATACTGGACTACTCTTCTCCCGAGGTATACTCCCCACTCCAAGAACATAGTTGACCTGATCAAGTCGTTGTCTCAGATACAACTCAACTCGCGACTGACGCTTCTCCGTATGCAAGCAGTCTCTCCTCTCAAAACTATCCGGGCATCTTCCTCAATTGCGAGGAACCTGTCGCACGCTGCTGCTTCTTCCACTCGACGCCTTGCCTCTCCCAATCCTCGTTTCTTCTGCTCCAGCGCTCCTCGCACCGTCAATATGACGACCGGCGTTTTCAAATACATCGATCCCTCATCCTATGTCGACAGCGACGTCCCTTTCGTGAAGCCGTGGAGCAAGGTCGATGGTCCTGGCTACTCGTTTAAAATGACCGATCGTGAGCGGTCGGTGGAAAACATTCGCGGGCAGGAATCCAAGTTTTCCGTTGACACCTCGGGCTTCGCTGTGTACAATTACCCGGCGAAAGAGAAGGCTTTCACAGACGACGCAAAGGTTCGAGAAGGGTATTATGCCGAAGTAGAGGCCCTACTACGAGAGAAGCTGCCCGGGGTGAAGAAAGTGGTCTTCTTTGATCATACCATCAGAAAAAGAGAGAAAGCTTCCCCGCGCCAACCTGTTCAGCAAGTACACGTCGACCAGACGCCTAATGCAGCCGCCGTCCGGGTGCGCAGGCATTTACCTGCAGAAGAGGCAGAGGAGTTGTTAAAAGGCCGCTATCAGATCATCAACATCTGGCGTCCGATAGCACACCCAGCATCCGACTTTCCCCTCGGCGTCGTTGATTACCGAACAACCGAGCCCTCCGACTTAATCAAGGTTGATCTGCTCTACCCCAAACGGCAATCCAATGGTGTCCACGACGATGACGACCGGGGCAAGGAGGTTTTTCCCGACCCAAACTCCGCTTCATCCACTGCCGGTTACGAGGTGAAGGGTGAAACCTTTGCCGTCCGGCCAAACGACAAACACAAGTTCTTCTATATGAAGGACATGACGCCCGAGGAGGTCATGCTCATCAAGTGTTTCGACTCGGCCAGCGAAGTCAATGGTGGCAAGAAGGGCATAGCCGGTTACACGCCGCATACTGCCTTTGTGGATCCGCAGACACCTGCGGGCGCGCCTGGAAGGCAGAGCATAGAAGTGCGATCACTGGTCTTTTACGAATAGACGGGTCTGCATACGTCATACATGTGGAAGCAGTATACATATATATAAAAGATTTAAAGTGGCATGGCATCAGGAGGTTTTAGTCAGCGAGTCTTCAATAACTACAAGAATATATATATGACATTATCAAGCACGATTTCTTGTTGTAACTACAAATTGCAGTCCGCCATCCCCGAACAATTTCACCAAAGAACAAAAGAGATTCCTTAGTCCTCGTCATCAATTCTCAAGACGACCTTCCCCCTAGTCCTGCCACTGCCCAAGCGTTCAAATGCATTCTCAAACTGGTCCAGCTTGAACACACTGTCCACCACGGGCCGCACTCGCCCTTGTTCGGCCAACTCGGTGATCCTGCCCAGCTGCTCGCCAGAGGGATGCATGACGAAGAACTTCCCGGAAATGCTCTCGTCCACACCTTCGGGAGTATCCAGGAGAAACTTCCACTGCATGTCCGCGGGTGGGACGATGGTCAGGAGCTGCCCGCCTCGCTTGACCGCATGCCACGCCTGGTCGAGCGAGGACAGGCCGGTGCAGTCGAAGACGAAATCCACCTTGCGTGTAGCCGAATCTTCTTCGGCCCAAGAACGGATGTTCGTGGTCCGGTAGTCGAGGACTTCATCTGCGCCCAAAGAGCGGACGAAGTCGATGTTGTTGGGGCCCGTGGTGCCGATCACGTACAGACCAATGAGTTTGGCGAGTTGGACGGCCCAGATTCCGACGCCGCCAGAAGCGTTAGTGATCAGGATACGCTGCTGCCCAATCGGGGCCCTTGCAGAGTTCAGGGTTGGAGGAGTGAGTTTAAACTGTTCAAACAACGCTTGCCAAGCGGTCAGGGCGCCGACTGGCATGGTGGCTGCCTCGTCGACGGACAGATTCTTGGGACGCAGGGCGAGTTCGCTGTCGTCTGAGACCGAGTATTGCCTTGCAGCTCCGGCCTGCGGGTAAGTGACCCGTCCATAGACCTCGTCTCCCGGCTTGAACTTGGAGCCAGATGATGGAGAAGTAACCACCTCCGCAACGAATTCTACGCCGGGCGATGAAATGGTGAGCTCTTCCGGACGAGGCCAGAGGAGCTCGCCTGCTGTCAGGGCCACGGCGTGTGACTTGATCAAGTACTGCGTCGAGGATGGCGTCGGGAGAGGAGTTGAGGCGAGGCTTAGAGTCTGCTTCTTCTGGTTGTGCAAAAGGGCACGCATTGTGCTGGGTAATCTGCTTGCTGACATTGTTCTTCTGTCGGTTATCGGGGTGCTGGTTAGAATAATACTGAGTGTGCTCTTCTTTGAGAATGTTTGGTGCGAATCTGCTCACATATAGTCATGATTTCACCACGGGGCTTCTCCCACCTTTTTATACTCAGATTCTGAGACTTGCTCTGCCCAGCTTCTGGCTCGTGCTTCCGGACATCATGCACCAAGGAGGACAGGGTCTCGCCATCGGCAACGAATCTCTTAGGCAACTACTCGCTTTTCGTATTTCCTGAACTCTCAGGGACTGTTTCACACAGAATCGCCCAGCTTCTTGCTGAACGGGATGCCGTCGTCGCTCCATGCGCGAAACAGTCGTCCAGGAACAGGCTTAGCTCCGTGGTTTGCGATGACATGTGTGACTTCCTCTTCGAGACAAGTAAGGGAAGGGCAAGAAATGCATTAGTAAGGACTCAGGGAGCTGAGCTGGGGAGTGGCCTGCCGCATCGTGGGGCAGAAAGTCTTTGGGCAACTTGGCGCAGTTTGGCGACTCGTGTGCCTCGATGGGTTGTTTGGTCTCGGGGGCTTCCAGCACCTCCGCGGGGGATTGTCTGACTCATTCACATGGAAGCTAACACTGTCAAAGCAGTTGTAAAAAGGAAAATACGTATGTGATATCCAGGTAGGCGAGTTTGGTAAGGTAGCATCAGCCTTCATATCTACGAGGCCCTGCAGATCCACAGGAAAACTCTCCAAACAAACTAGGCAGCAAGCTTTAATGCGACACATAACTCCATCTCAACCGTAACGATGAAAGCGTTTTTACTCACGTTCTCCTCTAGACTCCTCTTCCTGAGAACATTATCTTGTCGAGATGCCTCTCGTTCTTCAGCCCGCCGATGAGGCCGATGCTCCTCGCATCGTAGAGATCGAGCGTCTCGCCTATGCCTCGAACCCTCTCCAGCCTATCCTGTTCCCGGGACCATTCCCACCGCAGGCCAAGCATGAGCGTGCGGAAGGGCTCATCAAGCAGCTCCATGAAGATCCAACCGTCCGATGGGTGAAGGCGCTCGACACTGAGACCGGCGAGCTTGCCGCGTTTGCGAAGTGGAACATCATCAAGGAACCGAGAGAGCCGAATCGGGGTCGACAGTTTGGTCCTGGATGCAACGTCGAAGCCTGCGAGGAGTTCTTCGGCGGAATTCACAGGAAACGAAACGACCTGATGGGTGGCAAGGCATATTGCTGTGAGTTGACTCTGCACGGACATGCCGCCCTCGCACGCCTTGACTGAGGAGACACAAACAGTACTTGACCTCCTCCAGACGGATCCAAAATACCAGGGACGTGGTGCAGGAGGAAAGTTGATACAATGGGGCCTTGACATCGCCGACGAACTGCACCTCCCTACGTACCTTGAATCGTCTCCTGCCGCCCACGGCTTGTATCAGAAATTCGGCTTCCGAGATATTGACAAACTGACACTTGATCCCAAGTGGAACTACGGATCGGCAGACGCGAGCATTTATTTTATGCTTCGGGAAGCAAAATAGGGACCGTCTTTGGCTTGGAAACAAGACTGTCCTGACTGCCTTTCACTTCCTGCAAGGTTTGGTGATGGAAGCGAACAACTTGGAGCCATATCCGTTTGCTGGAAGCTATACCAGACCTAGACGACTCAGTGAGTGGGAAGCTTATTCATGCCTATTCGACGGGATATGCCGTTTGGCGAGCGGATGGCCGGTAAGAAAGAAAAGACCTAGGGCAACTTCCTGATTCCATCCCCCAGAATACGCAGCTTCTGCGTCTGCGGACTTGATTCCCCAGCCGCCGCGCAGCCTGGGCGAAGCGGCGCATGTGGATTTACTACCCTGACGGACTTTACATCTGGGTCTGATCTCAATCTTGAGTAGCCGACAAGCAAGGGAAGCCAACGACAAGTGCGACGGACCAACCGCATCTTGCAGCAATTTTTCCGGTTGAAATGCTTCTGCTGAATAAGACTTGTTATCTAAGATATTCTAGGTCAGCCTAGCGGGCCTCGACTACCCAATACGTAGCAGCTGACCTACTTCCTGAACTTCATTCCGACTATCCATCCGATGTGATGTACTGCTTTTTTCACCTATCTTTCCACACTTTGACCGACAAACATCCTGCTCAGGAGAAAGCCGTCGTTCCCAGCGTCCGCACGCCCGCATCAAACTAATAATTCAACATTGAGGAAAACGCAGACTAACAACGTGCTGCGGAACCCCGCGTTCTTCTCTACCGCCTACTCAAAAAGAAAAGGTACGGCCTTTGTCATGAGGCGCATGAGCGGAGGCAGATACATGGTAATGAATGGTTCTTTACGTTTTTATTCTATTTTTTTTTTATATCTCGCCTCGAGTGTGTGATAGATGAAGCCGCCCCAGCACTTGCTTCCCCAATCATGCCCACAAAACTTGAAAGCGACTCCTCTTCCCCCTGTCTTTTCATTGAGCTCTACATTTCCCACGCAATTACTCGGGTCCTCCTAATAATATTCCACAATGGCGGTTCGTGTGGACGGGAGGGGCGGATACAATTGACGAAATGGAATCTACGAGTTGGAAGATTACCAGCTGCATTTTGCTCTTTCGAAACCCGAATCGGCTGATATGCTTTTTCAGTCTGAGTGGCAAGACAGGTGGAGATTTTCCACTAAACTCCTCGCACCTGGTTCGACTGGATCTCACTCTCGGACGACGAACCGTCCAGCATAGCTCTGGCATGCTGTTCAAGTAGGAATTCGCAGAGAGACAATGACCGGAACCGGATAAACGACCACAGAGTCACGGGCGATAGATTGTCATTCGACTGGCCCACCCGCTGCGGAACGCCCTCACTATATCCAGCAAGGGCTGACGGACAAGATGCGACAATCCTGCTTAACCTTCAAGCAGCTCGAAGGTTTGAAGGGTTTGACCAGTACTCTCAGCGATATATTCGTGCAGGAACAGACTCACAATATGACCCAATGGAATCCCGATAAGCGGCATGGATTGCTGCTATCCTCGGCGAAGCATGGGTTACTCCGATCCTGACCCTCCACACCTTCACCGAGTTGACTGAAGATGCATGAACCTCGGGTTGGTGAGGTATAGGCTATACACACAGAACACGCATCCGTATACCCATCTGTATGTGCATGCCTGTCTACAGTGTCTGCCCAGCTGCCCGGCCACCCTTCGTGAGGGCGGACCACGGTATCATGCGTGGAACAATGGAAGAAAAGAAAGAAAGAGGCTATGGGAGGGAGAAATGCACTCAATGGCCTGCCTCATTTCCTCCTTTCTTCCCTTCCTTCATGGGAGTGGAAATGACTCTGTTTTTTTGGCATTAACTACTCCAATACTCGGTAGCAGTATACCACTTGTACACGGAAGAAACGAATATCAAATAAACCCCGACCCCGGGCCCGGTCCAATACCTCTTGTCGTTGTTTATGTTTGTATTCATTAACTAATTCATTTCATGCTTCTCCCAAGTTCTGTGACCCTCCGGCTGCAGCTGTGGTATCTATACTCGTGCTACTCTGTCTAACCACGTCCTTGTCATGGCCGATAACCTCCGTCTCAACAGCAAGCCTGCTATCCAAATGCCAGTGGTCCTCGAGAAACTCCCTTGCCCTGCGGAAGGCGTCGAGTTTCAGCTTCCGCTCCAGGTCGCTGATCCACGAGTCCGGGAACTGCGTCCACCCGTGCACGACGCCCTTGACTTCCTCGACGATCAGGTCGTCGCCGCGGCCCTCGTCGCGCACCTTCTGGATCCAGGTCATGCTCTGCTCGTTCAGCGAGTCGAACTGGGGGAGCACGAGTAGCATCTTGGCTTTCGGGTGGAGGCCGAAGTTCTCGCCGTCCCGCGCCCGGATGTCCGCGAGCCCGGGACTTGCTCGTGGATGACCCCTCTTCTCGGGGGGTAGATAGGTCGGCATCAATTCCTTCTCGATCTTCCATCGTTCGACAAATCCCGAAGGAGGATTAAGCCCTTCGGGTCTTGGCCTCTCGTGTGGTAAAAGCCGGGCGTCCAGGCTCGGGTAGAACAAGAGAACAGGAATGTCATTCGGCCAGTCCCAGGGCAGTGGGCTCACCCAGTCTGTCTCTGCCGTCGGGTCGTCTTTGACACTGAGAGCCAGGTTCAGCGCGATATTTCCTCCGGAGCTGAATCCTGAAAAGGCAATCTTCTGCTCGTCTAGTTCGATAGGTTTTCGTCCTTGTTTCAGCATCTCCCACAGCTATGCAACGACATTAGTCTCTATCGCGGTTGAACGAAGCTCAATATGAGAACTTATACGAGTCTAATGCATTCTTTCAGAGACAAAGGGGGACTTACTATCCCTTCCCTCAGCGGCTTGAACGCTCTGCTGCTTGGGTCAATCACTGCAAGCACAACATCTTCGGCGTCGAGATTGGCTGCAGGGAATTGCGCATATGGACCGAGTCGATAGTCCACCGAGATGACGACGCAATTCAGCTCACGGCACATCCTGGCACAGAACGGAGCTTGCTCCTGGCAAGATCCGAGGATGAAGCTGCCGCCATGGAAATCGATCAGGACCGGCAATTTCGCATCGTCGTCGTCGTCGATGCCGATGGGCCGAAGAGCGTCCTTGAGGTGCGCACCAGCGGCGTTCTTCTGAGAGTGGAAGAGATGGTGATGACGGTGCTTGCGCAGGGGCGGGACCCAGACGTAGACCGGGATCAGATGCTTGCCGCGCGAGGGGATCTCGAAGACGATGGGCTGCGGACCCTCGGAAGCGGTGAAGTTGAGGACAAAGTCCGGGACGAGGCGGGGGAGAGAGACGAGGGCCTTGCGCCATGAAATGCCAAAGGGTTGCGTGAACATGGCCTCGGCGGGGTTCTTGTCATCGGTATACTTGTGTTTCATGGGAAGGATGCGACTTGGTGATGTACTGTAGGTGCTAGCTTGTCCGGGGGTGGGCGGAAGAGACTTGGCGACATCAGTGTATGTGCGGAGTGTTTCAATCCTTTTTGCGGAGCGACGGGGGGTTTGTTATGGAGTATTTGATTTCATCCTTCAGCCTTCGACCGAACCTCGACGGCTTAGGAAAATACAAGGTTAGTCAGTCTGTAGTCAGGTGGTGAGTTGGTGGTCGGTCGGTCGCAGAGGCTGTGCTGGCACTGGGTGGCACTGACGAGGCTACGTGCTGATTGGCTGTATGATGCTTATGTAACAATCATGACCCAAAGCCCGTTGACTGCCCGTCACGGGTGCCCGTCTTTTAGCCGCCGCTTTAGTTGCCATATTCACGCGTCCTCCCTCCATGCGCGACGCGTCCGTTGCAGTCAAGTCTCCTTGGTACTCGCATGTTGGACGCGGGGAAGAGTATGATGCTTGCACCAACTATATTTGAGAAGCCTTCTGTAAGCGGCAAGACGATCCCCCCCTCTGGGTGCCCCTATCCACGCATTATTCTCGTCTGGTCGGCCTGATTCAACAAGGTTACAAGTTGGCAAGATCATCAGGGGTAAGCCTCATAGATTCAAGGGTGTGAGGAATACTGTGGGCAACGATTGGTACAGATCTACTACCTCACAGTGCACCTGAATCTCCCACTGGGCTTCTACTGCTAATGTCATTCGGTTTCATTCTCTCGACGGCGCTGCGAGGACAACATGCATACGAGTAGGTGAAGGGCATCGCTCATGCCATATGCGTCCCGCCGTTCACACCCAAGCAGACGCCAGTCATCCACCGGGCCCTTTCCTCGCAAAAGAAGGCGGCCGCATATGCGATCTCCTCGGTCTCTCCAAGTCGAGATGCCGCAGGGGTCATGGCCAGCATTGGCTCAAGGCTGTCTCGAGTCGGGCCTATCAATCCGTTGAATGCATCGGTATTCGTGGCTCCAGGACAAATGGCGTTGACAGTACACTCATACTCCCGACCCAGCTCCCTTTTATTTGGTAGGGAATCCGTCAGCGGGAGAAGAGAAGGGTTAAGGAACATTCGGTGGGTGAGCAAATGTGAAGTACTTACACAGCCCAGCATCGAGTAAAACTCTCTATCATGCTTTTCGTCCCGTTATAGACGCTCGCTCCTGGATATGGTTGTCGGGCTCCGCTAGAGCTCAGGTTGACAATCCTGCTCGGTTTGGCCAGATGCGGCAAGACAGCTTGGGTCAGAAGCAGCGTCCCGCGACCGTTCAAGTTGACCTGCCCGTCCCATTCCTCGAGGGTGACGTTCTTGAGGAATGTCATCCAGGCGATGCCGGCGTTGTTGACCAGGATGTCGACTTTGCGACCATTGGTGCGCTTGACGGCCTGTTCGACGAGGTGTCTGGGACCGTCCACCGTTGATAGATCGGCTTCGACAGCGAAGCACTCGCTCACATGGTTCCCGCCGGTGGCTCGAATCTTTTCCAAAGTGGAATCGGCTTCTTGTTCAAGTAAAGCAAACGGATAGTTTGTGACCACGAGAGCGCCTCTAATTCAAAGGATCCAGTCTGTCAGCTGTGGGCTCGTCCTGAGATATAGAGCACACGCATGGACCACACTGAAGGTTCGACCCTGTCAATTCCAACACCCCCTACCTACATACCTCGAAGCCAGCTCGATGGCTATAGCTGCCCCGATGCCTTTGGAACTCCCGCTCACGATGGCCAACTTTCCATCCAGAGTCTGCGGTTTTTGCGCCATCTCCGTTGTTACCGAGCGAGAAACACGTTTGTCGCCAAAGTCAGATAAGGGATGGGTGACGACCTCTGTGGTGATTGATGGGTACCGTGTCCCAAGTGCCTAATACCTAGTATCTAGGTATGTAGCAAGGCGAACCGAGGTATACTTGTATGTACTATCAAAGGAAACGAACCGAACCGAACGACGTCCTCCTCATCCCCAAACGCCCAGAACTGGCACTTTCCAAGTACATATGGCGCGAATCCAAGTCCGAGTCGTGCTGCAGCTGCAGCTGCAGTCCAACGAAAAATGTGCCACCGGACTTGTTCGGTACACAGTACTCGGTCCACGGATGTTTGTATTGGACAGTTGGACGTTCCCTGTCCCCCATCAACGCAGCGCGTCGTGTTCCCCGGAGCCCTTGCGGCCCTGGCGTTCTGTGCTCCTGCGCCTCGGTGCGCAAGTGACTTGTCCATGCACCTCTCTTGTCGTGTTGAACGGCCATTGGATCCCCTCACACAGTCGGTTCGACCTCTGCATCCATCGTGCGCACCACACGATGGGACCGTGAACTCCTGGAGGAGCCACCACCAACTTGAGTTGTGGTGCAGATCAAAACCAAACCCCCCGGAGCCTCCAATGCCATGCCGGCAACCCACTTTGTACTTTGTACTTTGACCTGTACATGTACATGTACACATCAAAACTCCCCTTTCCATCCTTCCGGGGTCGATTGCGATTACGATTGCGAACACCTGTGTAGGAAGGTACCTCGCCACTCGTACCAGAAAAATACCGGTGGTACGGAACCGGCATTCTCAATTCCACAAAGGAGTTTGGGCTCTTTGCTTCGCTTACGAGTCAAGTTGAAAACCGACCCCGTTACCTGTGCCACTGTACCTATTTACATGCTTCGTACCGAGTATGAGGTAAATAACCTATTTATCTTGGGTAGCAGGGTAGCCACTTAGCCCAGCAGCCCAGCGGCCTAGCACCTTAGCACCCGAGTCACTCCTCCCTGCTCCTCTCCCGCCCTCCCCTCCACAAAACCAACACCCACAACGGACGCGGGGCACTGGATATTAATATCTGAAACTGGAACTGAAAATACCCACCGAGGCTCCCATATAATTTTGACTTGACCTGGGTAAAATACACAGTCAGTTCATGACATCTGAGCATTCGACGACGACGACAACACCTGACAAAGACAGATTGAAAAAAAAGGCCCACACACGGGGGAAGAAGGGGGG